GGGGTCAGGGTGGTCGATCGACCCCCCGGCTGGCCGGATTTGGCCAAATTTTTTCTTAGTAGGGTGTCCGTTATTTGAAATTTTTTCAGTTCGACCCTCCGGTGACGGTTGAATAATCTTATTTTTGACCCCGCGATTTGAAAATTCTCGTTCCGTCACTGGGCACACAGTTGAGTTAAAAGTTTTGAATCAAAAAGTTACACCCCATTTGTCCATAAAAATAGTTCAAATTATAATGTGGACCAAAAACAGAATGGTATAAGGGGGGTGATTGTATATTTTCACTGAAGGTATCATTTTTTTTGTTATAGATATACTTTTTATAATATACTTTCTCTGTACCCAAAAGAATAGTCCATATTCACTTTTCAGATTTGCACAAAAATTATTATAAATCTCAAAACTCAATGTGAATTATTTTTTTGGGATTAAAAAAATACTTCATACGTCCCGAAATGATTATCTAATTTGGGATTCTTTTTAGTATGTATTGAAAATAAAAGTGAAAAATCAAAGATAACCATCATAGTGGGACAACATGAATATATACTAGTACTAGATTTGAAACCAAAAAGTTTCATAAATTAACCAATTAATTTTTAGAAGTTTCAATCTGTAGAAAAAGTAGTCCACTTGTTGCACTATTTGAGTTTGATAAAATAAATTATTAAAATAAAATGTAGAAAGTAATGCCATAGTTCCATTTCGACACAGGATCCTCTATGTCACTTTCTTATGACACTCACTGTGACACAATCTAATTACTCTTTATAAATTATATAATTTGTGCTAATGCATATACCATTCACAATCACTTTCGAACTTATATATCTTAGGACTAAGGGTTCACTTTTTTGGGTTAGGGCTTATTTATTTTGATTTTCAAAATTAAAAAACTCAAAAAAATAGCAAAATTTCATAAAAAATAAAAAATAGATATAAAAAATAAAATAAGAATATGAAAATTATCTACATTGAAAATATGTGACTTTAGTATATATTAGCTCAAATTATATAATTGATAAAGAGTAATTAGATTGTGTCACGATAAGTGTTACAAGAAAGTGGCTTTCTCCGAGTGCTAGATTGGCCCCGACATGCCACGGATCTTTTACATTCGGAATAAAAGACAATACGTTAGAGAGAAAGATTGAAGATAGTAATTAGATAGATGAAAAATGGTTACGTTTCATCCAAACAAATACGTTTATAATAAAAAATATCCAAACAAATAAGAAATTAATTATTTCTAATTTAAATTTTTATTTTAATATAAACTATAATAAAAATAACAATTCAAATTAAACAATTATTTCGACCCGGAGGAATATAAACTTTTGTATGAATCTCTAAAATTCGAAAGTACGGCATTTTTTGTTTAAGACGACATTACAACAACATCCCGCATTATAATCAAGTAGAAATAGTATCAACTTTATATTTATTTTTGTTTTTATTACAAAACACATGCTCCTACATATGGAGACAAAATGTATACAGAATGACTAAACATATCGCCGTCAAAATGCTCATTTTAAATCGCAAAATACATACCAGGAGCCCCTCGTCATCAATTGAAAGTACTGTTATACATTTTTTATTCTTTACTTTATATTTTAGAGTACTGTATATATATGATATTAAGAAAAGAAAACTAATTATTACCACTACTACACAATTTTAATAATAATTTGAATTTGAATCTGAATTCAAATATTAAAAGACAAAAGTGTACATGTAGAGTAATTAAACATCACAATCAGAAGAATATTATTATTATTTTTATTAAAATTGAAAGCAATATTTTCAAGAGAGTACAGTATTACATTTTGGTGATTATTTTTAATCATTTTTAAAAAAGGAAATTCGGTTGCCTGATGGCTAATGGCTTCCTCTAGTGAGATGCAGGCCTTTTTCTCCATTGTTATTCTTTTTCTGAAAGGGGTTTTTTTTTTTTTTTTCTGGTGTAACTCGTTAAGTTCAAATGTTTAATTCTTGAGACGGATGCATAATACACAATTGTGAACTGGAATATCTTTGGTCTAGTAAATTAGTGTTATTAATTGGCCAATTCAGCTAAATTGTTGCACTATATTCGAACCGATTTTAAAAAGATTTATTAGGGATTTTTTCATTGGTCAATTAATTTTGCCGTCAAACACAACTTAACAGTTTAGCAAATATCAATAATGTAGGTATAGTTTTAGGTGCACCAATTCCATAACACACAAAAGAAAAAAAAAATAAAAATCCCCATAAATAAAACATCTGAAAATCTGAAAAACTTGTCTATTGTAGAATGGCGCCAGTGTCGTTTGAAATTTGGGTACAGTATTCTACTCTTTTTTTCTGTTAGCCGTTAGTCGGCATGTTGGCCTACGTATGAACTGCTTATGCTTGTCACATGCATATCTACTACAATTTAATTTCACGTCAAAGTTTATCAACCAAAATTTTTTTAAAAAAGACAAAAAAAAACTAATCCGTAACGAAATATTTATATTAAAAATCATTAATTTGATGCCAAGTGCCAATCAATAAGCATGCAGTAAAATGACAATAGTAAACGACGTACGTAGAATGCATGGATACATCATCAAAGAGAAAAAAAAAAATTTCCAAAATGAGTTGCAAATACGCTCCTCCTTACGTCTCTTCTTTTTGTTTGGTTACTCAAATCTTGAATGAGTTTAGCAAAGGAACTTTTTTCTAATTATGTGCTAACCTGTTTGGAATCACAGTCGAGAAATCCTTTCAGTCTTCATGTATGTACTTGCACAGACACTCACACCAATTGTTTTTAATGAGAAAAAATGAAGCAGTCTTTACAAATGAGGAGTTTAAAGCATGATCGTGTACTTTATTATTTCTTCTGTTCCAAAATGATTGTTTTATTTAAATTTTCATTTTTAATATATAATTTAAACGGAGAATGAAATCTAAACCGGACAATTGGGACAGAGGGAGTATTTGATTTTGGAACTTGTTGCATCTTCCTTAATAAATATCATTACATGTCGAAGCCAGTGAGATCCACAACGGACTATATATTGGGAAATCATTTCTTTTACAACATAAACAGTGATTTCAATTTTCAAATTTAGTGTCACAAAGAATTATGATTCCTCGATAGAATTTTTCCAAGAAAATAAAAGTAGAAGACTTGATCATGAGATCATCCAATTGAACACTAGTTGGGAATATCTCAGAATGTCCAATGTTCTTATTAACTACTACCTCCGTTCCTTATTATAAGAGGTTTTAGACATGGTTTCTTTATTCCTTTTTATAAGATATTTTATTTTTTCAAGCTAACATTAAATATTTTTTTCCCCATTTTACCCCTTCAGCAGTAAATTCATATAAAAATTTTAATGCCATTACATCTTTTGTAAATCTTAAAGAACGACATTAATTAGTCAACAACTACTGACTCTGTTGGAAAAAAGAAAAAATGTTTGATCTTCTTCTTTGTTTTGGAAAAGAGAATATGACATTAGTAATTAAGAGCGAGATTATTAGGAGACAGTGGTCTCGGAAAAAAAAAAACTCAAACCTGTAAATGGTCAAAACAATGTTGAGAGATTATTGCCACTAAATGGGATTCTTTATAAGGGTCGAATTATAATTAATCTGAGGGTAGTATATACATATTATTATTAAGAGGCCTCATGTGAATGAATTCTATGTAATTCGATCCGACACGAAATAAATCTTTAAGTCTTAACCCAGGCTAGTAAACGAAAGAAATGCTACTTTTAGTTGCGTTTTCCGTGTCCTAAATTTAGCAAACATAAGATACTAAGAACAGTTTGAAAGTGTTGCAATACGTAGAGGTAAAATGGTAAATAAATATTTACATTGGATTCCCTAGGTTTTTACCATTCCCCAACACGCACGCACTATGTAGTGGACTCGATTTCAAAAAGTCAACGGTCGGCCAAGGGCCATGCTGAGATCTGTAGTCCAATTTGTTCAGTTTGAGGCTTTTGAGTTGAGCATAAACATTTCAAACTTCTGAACTTTTTATAAAGTAATTTCCCATTATAGTCTGTAATACTAATCTCATTATAGTCGATTAAATTGATTGGCACGAAATATTAAATCGATTGTGTTTGTGATTTTTTATCTACTCTATTTCTTCCTCACAATCGAAACTCATTTTTTGATATCTCGTTGAGAAAAAAGTCTTTATTTTTTGCCATTTTTTAACCCATGACAAAAATTACATCTTCATTAGAAATTACTATAAACAAAAAAAAAAAAAAAAAACTTTCTATAAGTAGATCTAGAGAGAGAAGCTTCAAGTATAGAACAAGCATGAACCACACAATCCAAACATTGGGTAAATTCTGGTAGTACGTAAAACATTAGATTCCCTTTGTGCAGAACATGCCTGAAACCATGAGTTGTGTCTCATGTGATGAAAAGGTGAAAGCAAAGGATGGAAAAGTTATAAGCTCATGGGATACCCCTCTCAAGATCTTAAAGTGTGGTTAAAAAGTGAAAAATTCTCCTTGAAGTTTGGGACACTATCATTTACTATTTTGATGAATTTCATGCACCTTACTACTACAAAATCCACAACCACAACCACCACAAGCAGGAAGCGCAGAATATCCCAACATTTTGACATTGTTCTTCTACTCTACTTGGATCCATATAGGCCTTTTTCTATTTTTATTTTTTTTTCATTGGTAAAAACAAAGGAGGATGAGGATGTTTGCATCTTCTGGAAATCAGTGCAAAACCCTTTTTTTCTCTTTCCATAACATGCTAATTAAGTGAAGTCAAATCCCATGTTAAATCACTGTTAGAAAAAAAAAAAAAACCCTCACCCACACACACACACACACACCCCCCATAGAGACACCAAAATCAGCATAATTGTAGATGAAAGTAAGCTTTTTGTCTGGTAATCCTGCGGAAGAGTAATCTACAGATTGAAAGAAACATGCAAAAATATGGAAGGAATGAGAAAATTAAGGAAATTAAACTGCGTTTTGAATGAACAACTTTGAAGTACTGGATCTATATGTAAGTAAGTGGTAGAATTAATGTTGTTACTGATTCAAAGTACACAGATTGGAAAGAACTAATACAATGATGATCTTGTTATACAAGAATCTGAAACTAATTAAGTTACAGATTCGATCTCAGAAAAATCTGCAGATAATTACTACTTGCTAGAACAATGAACAATCATGGATCTAAATAAGTCTTCCAAATTCTTTTTTTTTTTTTTCTCAACGACGTATATATAAAAACATAAACCATCATCTTCCCGAACGAGTTGTACGGGAAGAATCTAAATTACACCCGCCGGTTACAACATTAATTAATATACCTGTGGTTTTGGAAGTTGAATCAAATTATAATCAAGATCCAACAATATTTCGTCTTAAGCAGTTAGCTTCAGTCGGTCATTTCTTCATCATCATCATCACTCTTTCTTTCTTAGTTTCTAACTAAGAGAAAAGATTAACACGTCTTGAACCTTCTTGCGTCGGTCAACCATATATTAACTTGGAGTAGTAAAAATCAAAGGAATAATATTTTGATATAAGTTAGCTAGCTAGCTTTCTTTCCTGACCTTCTTGATCTTGTTTCCGAAATCTGCCCGCACGGATTCCGGGAACATGGACTCCACTTCGTTTGTCAGATCAAGAAAAACCCTTTTCCGGCAACGGTTTCTCTTGATAGCAGCGGCTGCCGCCGCGGACGGAATTGTCTTTGGCTTTCTTGGAGCTGGCGGACAAACTAAAGCCGGGATTTTGTGATCAGAAGACGTCGGAGTTGATAACCCATCCACCACTTCTTCCTCCATATCTTCTTCCTCCGTCACCGCCGGCAGTTTCACTTTCAAAGAAGCAAAGAATTCCATATCTTCTTCATCTTTTTTCCTCCGATCATCGAATCTGCAGGCACCCATTTTCTCAGTTGATGACAGGAATATATTGCACCCAATGATATGATTGGCAACATTTGAGGATGAAGGTGAAGAATCTTTGTCAACGCCGGCCGAGCTGGGAAGAAAAGCTTTCTTCGGAGAATCGGAAAAACCCATGAAGGGAATTAGCTAGGGGGAAAGAATTTTTTTTTTTTTGGAAAAATGATTTGAAAATGGTGGAATTAAAGAATTCCTGAAGTTTAGAAGATTGAAGGAGACAATATTGTTTACACAGAATTGGGGTGAAAAAAGAAATTTGTTATTAAGTGAATTATATATACTTGGGGGAAAGGGGGAGTATCTACTGTTGACCTGGGAATAAAATGCACCCTTCACTAAAACCACAAACATACAACAAAACTACAAAAGGGGGCTTGTACTACACTACTTACCCTTTTTAAAAGGCCAGCTTTATGAAACTAGCTTGGGTTTCATAATCTCCCTTTTCATTCTCTCTCTCTCTCTTATATTTGGTATTTCATTGGTTCCTTAAAAAGGAAAAATAAAATAAAATATTTTTGCACTTTTTGAAGCAGAGAAGAAAACAAACTTTTTCATTTATTGATAGAAAATTGGCCGATTATCATATTAAATTCTGTATTATTCCCTCTGTTCCAAAAAAAAAAAAAAAAACTTCATTGAGTTTTAGAACTTATACTGTTTTTAGTATAAATCTCAAAACTTAACGTGAATTAGTTTTTTTTTTCTATATATATAGAAAAAGTAGTATTTTTACTCGCCTAGCAAAAAAAGAGTATTGTGTTTTGTACTGCAAATTTTTAATCATCAAGACTTTCATTTTGAGATACATAGAAAACTGTCTCGTGTTTATTCATCAAGGAATTATGTGTGGTTTTTTTTCTAGCGAGAAGTCTTGTCCAAATTTTTTTTTTTTAAAAAAAAAATCTAGCGAGACGGGAAAAAGGAGAAGAAAATAAAAGGTGCTGTTAGTTCGGGATATTACTACAATACTAGTACTAACTATTAAAGGAAATGAAAAGATGGTTGAAAACAAGAAACGGTGAAGTTATTTTTCAACTATATAATCATAAAAAGGTGAAGTAACCACACTTGAAAGTTGAAAACTTTTATATTTCAGCCATTAACTAGATGATTTGTTTAGTGGACTTGTTTGGGAATTCAGCTTTTCCATTAATGTTTTTTTTTTGGAGGGGTGATCGATCGAGGAGGCACATTCATTCTCTTATTCATAGCAGTACTCATTCTCCTTCGGCGAAGGATCCAATGCAGGAAAAAGAAAACTAGTATTAAGTATAAACCCCCCAACAAAACAACATGACCCTCTTTCTGGAATCTTTCTGGGTAGATTTAGTTTGTTGATCTCCTTCATTTTTTCTAATTTTAAATAAGGATCTTGTAACATGCAAATTTGCATAGTTTATGTGATGCTTTTTTTTTTTTGATGCTATGCATCAATTCACGTGCTTAGATGCATGGCAACTCTCCAATGTCAACCTGCCCTTCCCTATACTTTATTTGTGATTCCTTTTCTTTTTCTTTTTATTTTATTATTATTATTTTTTTGGAAAAGAAATCATGGAAGTATAAGTTCCTAGCTACCATAATGTATCATGTTCGAAAAATCCAACATAACATAATTTTAGGTACTATTAATAAATATACAAGTATCGTTCCAAAAATAAAAATAAAAATTATCCTGTTCGGCCGGATCCTCATACAATTCCACCACCTTTAGCATCATGTAAAAGTATTATGTCAATTATCCATGGAGCCATATATATTAATTACATTTTTCTGTTGTCTCAAAAAAGAATCATCTTTCACATTTTAATTAGTACAAACAGTAGAAATTGGGCGGAGAAAATATTCCTCTAAAAAAGATTGAGTGAAGTAGTCCCTCCGTCCTATAATTATTGTCCAGTTTGAGTTTTTATTTTTAGTTCAAAATGTATTAAAAGTGAAATTTGAAATTGGATAATAATTTGGGGACAGAAAGAATAATAAATACGCCTGCAACTGAACAAGGGTGAAGTTACAAAACTTGGGTTTGTATAAATAGCCTGAAATTCACATGAATCATGCGGTTCAAATGGGAGTGTAAGTTCGTCGTACTTTTTGTTCTTTTTGTCCTTTTTTCCTTTTATTTAATTTTTTTTTTTTTTTTTGGGTGAATAAGCTTGTAAAATGTCCTATGATGCATCATTAATTGTGTGTTTGCCTTATTCCATACACCATCAATGTGGGAATGAAGGTAAAGATGGATATGGACACAGCAAGAAAGAACAACATAGGATGCCATTTTGTATTGTTCTTAATTAATTGTTGGGAAGATAAGCTTATAGATTTTCAGTCATGATTCCAGATATATTCATGATCTCAAGTCCTACACATTACTTCACCTAGCTCCGTGCCAATCTGTTTTGACTACTTTTTTTCCTTGTAAAATCCGCAGATATTCGTGGTGCTTGTTTGGAACCATAGTTTATAGTGAACAACTTAAACGAATGTACAACATAAGATAATCAGAATACACTGCAATAAAATTGTTGCACATTTTTGGCAAGTAAATTAAAAGATCAGCTAAATGATGGTTCACACTGTACCATCTTGCATGATACACATTTTATCAGTGGTCTAATCTTCGTTTTTTTGGTATTCTTTTATGTTTCATTTTTTTTTTAAAAAAAAAAACACAACCTAATATTTTGGTACTACTTACTCCTTCTGTCCCGAAATGATTATTTATAATTTGTATTAAGGATTAAAAATCTAAAATGGAAAATTATTTTAGGACGGAGAGAATATATATACATATTTAATTAGAGGTTAGTATAGATTAATATATAGCTAGAGAAATGCTTAAATGTGTAACTATAAATAAACTTGAGATCTGGTATCCGTCCAATTTGAGCGAATATTAATTTGGCTGAATTACTCAACTTGGATTTGTTCTTTAATCAGCCTGAAATGTGCACTTAAATCATGAGTTTCAATTGTTTATGTTTGCATCGAAGTGGAATTGAAGGCGGAAGATGGCCGATAGGGTAGCGAGAAACAACAGCATAGGATGCCATTTTGTATTGCCATAATTGTTGGGAATGTAAGCTTAATTTTAGTCATGATTCCGGGGAACAATCGTCAACCATATTACTTCACCCTCCATCCCAATCTGTTTGACTATTTTCTTCTTAAACCAGATAGTTTGTTGGCGTTTGTTTGAAACCGGAGTACGTTTCTTGTGAATAACTACAATGTACGCAACAGAAGTCAATCAGAATATAGTATACGGTATCTGCTGATTTTGTCAAAATTAAAGGTTTATCTAAATCATGTTACTTTTATTTCGGATATAAAACACTAACTATATCAATAATTTCCTTGGTCATGCATACTCATTCGAGTACAAGGGGCGATTAATTAATAGACCAAGATTAAAATACGCCAAGATTTAACAAAGCCGATATGCATTTCAAATATTCATATTAAGAGTAGGGTTACACTAACAACCTTGATTTGTTTGTGCTCGTTTGCCATATTAAAGCTTCCTAATATGCCACATTTGGATCATTCACCTTTAAGTTACATAATAATAATTATAATAGAATACAATATAGGTTGCACAAATTAAGGTTGATTCACATGAACTAGGATTCCCTTTGGATAAAGTCCAGTTGTTTTGTTTATTAAAAAAGGTTTGGGTGGATACATGATTAAGGATTAGTTGCCACCCAATCCATTGACAAACCACATCTCGCTCAGATCTTCCCCACCAGATCCCTACATTCATAATTCATTCATTATAATATACCCCGTTCAAGTAAACAACTCTCGCAAACAAACATCTATGTTGCTAGCTGCTATTCATCCTCTCCGAAAATATATGCACATATGACAACACAATATTCTTTTAATAATTATTTAAAATCTTAGTTTCTTACATAAACGATTCATAAATTATAATGATGAATACAAACACTTATCGTAGAATTCTAACAAAATTATTATTTATAGCTAGTAAGAATAATCGTATCGATTGATTAAATTAATCAGCCCGATTCAAGATACTCGATCCACTATAAACGAAAAACAATTTTACAGCAGGCCCCGCTGATTAAACTTCATCATAATGTACCTAGATCAAAAAGTAAACTTCAAAAAAAAAAAAAAAAAAAAGCGTGGGAGTGAAATTGTATAATGTGATGTTTTAGGTTTATAGTAGTAAGTGTTTTGGATGTGGAAAGGAAGAGTGGCCAACATAGCATTATTCTCCCACAGTCGTTGTACTTGAGCCTAGGATTCTTCCCGCGTTGAAAAACTGGCGGGTGGGACAGTTGGGAGTTAGAGAGTCGTTTTTGGCCATCTTCTCCCCGCGTATATATCTTTTGCTAACTCCTTTTAAAACCATTTCCAATTTTATTTATTTATTTATTTTGTTTATTCATTTTGAGTAGTATATTAGACTAAATGGTATTTACAAATTATAACTTCCAACATCCCTTTCAGTCAGTATACTAGTAAGAAATATTACTCCATCAGTCCATCCAATCCAATAATTTGTACAAAGTTAACGAATTATGTTTTTCTTAGAACAAAGAGAGTACTAAATAGTTTTCAAGATTAAGATATATTCTCAGCAATATTTATTAGAGTATGGATACAGAAAAAATTTGATAAAGAAATATACAAAGAATGATGTGCATGAATCTTAATCATGTCCCTTAATCCTTAAATGCACAAACCGTATAAGTATAAACGGTTACGATTTATTAACAGTTAAAATTTATTGTAAAATTTTTTGACACAAACTATTAATCTATTTATTATGTTACACACACATATATATAGAAAAAAATGTCAACAAGCACAACATTGACATAGGGATGCTAGTTTTGGAGTGGATGGAACTGTTCATTCTCATGATTTCGATCATCATCTCTCAGGAATTATAACTCCTGAAATAGAGGCCTCTCTAGAGAGACAATAGATTTAGTAGTGGCGGGTCCAAATGATTTAATTAAAAAAAAAAAAAAGCAGAAAGGCTTGCTTAGATTTCACCATTATTCTTCCCATGAATCATGACAGCATGCAACATTCTTATCTCTGTTGGCTCGATGATGATTTTCTTTTATTATTACATTAATAATTCACTTTTCCCTGTTGAGAAAGGATGATTATTAAAGTATCTTTTGGGATTTTGGTGTTGATGGATCATGTGTTTTAGAGCACAGAGCTGCAGCAATTGAATAGGAACAATTGGGTAAAAAATGAAGCTGCAACACAATTATTTATTAAATAAAGTATATACTGAGACACTAGTACGTCTATAATAATAAACCATAAAGCTTGATACCTTTTTATGTTTTTAGTTTGTACACATCGATATTCGAGTTTGGAATCTCCATTATTTGTTTCTTTTAGTTCATATGCTAAATCCCTCATCGTTTTTTTTTCCGTGATTTATAATTTAGCAAATCGCACACTTGGAATTGAAAATGTATATATATGTAGTAGTCGAGGGATAAATCGAATTCAACATAACTTAGAATACTTCATGATTCTTTTTGGCGAAAAAAATGAATTTATATTTCTAACAAGTTCGACAAACTTTGACCTTAAACTACATCAAAGAAATAAATAAAATAGGTCCTTGTATTAATGTTAGTCTGTTTTAAGGAATAAAACTGTCGGAGATTGTACAAGCTACTTAATTTAGTTTGATATCAGTACAAGTACTATAACAAATAAACCTAAGATTCAGTATATTACTATATATATTGATCAAAGTGCTGCAGATGTTTTTTCTTTTTTTTCTTTTCCCTTTTACATAAATACAAGCAAACTGCGGCCTTAATCTGCCAATTCGTACGCAGAAACACAATAATATAATCAATGATAACGTGGGGGGGAAGGCTTTGCTAATTACAGGCAAAAAGTTCACACACAACAAACACAGATGCAGCCCCCCATCATTGCACCCATTTTTCACGCTTTAAAGCTTCCATGATTTTGCTTCCCATGTCTCTCTTTCAACTTATTTAATCATCTCCCCAATTGTTAAAATCTGTCAAACTTATTAAGAGTCTAATTAATTAGACGCCCTCCCAAATTTCCCGGTTTATTGATCATCGTTCACGTCTCATAATTAGAGTCTTATAATTTGTTCTTCAAACACTAACAACGGATGAAACATGCAAGTATATAATTAAGACATATACTTCCTTTGTCTCAACAAAAATAGTCCATCTTGAATTTTGATATTGCATTGTTTTTAATATAAACTAGATGTTTGCCCCAGGTCAATGCCTGTGGCACATGTGTCTTAAAATTATTAAATAAAAAAAATTATAAGTGAAAAAGTATAATGTAGAGTAATAGTATGTATAATATAATATTATAATACAGATCACGATAACATAGAATTTTGTATGTGTAAGTAAATAACAATTTTTTTATACAATTCTAATTGTATAAAAAAATCTTTTATTTTTTACCCGCGGTTCATGCCCGTTGGCTAATAACAAATTACAATATTATGGAGATAATATCTTTTGAACTAACAAATAAACATTCGGTGATGGAATCTTTGGATACATATCCTGATTGCCATAATGGAGAGCTGATCATCTTTTATTCCTCCGGTATTGATCTCCCGTGGTAGCATGATGGAATTTTCTTGGTTTTCCCGTTATTAGGTTTTAAGTCAAATTTTAAGGATTAATGTCTTCTTGATTGAGCCAATTGTCTGTTGGAGCAAAAATATTAAGGGGATCGCCTTCATTTTCATTGAGTCAATTGTATTACATTGAGTAAAAATACTTGATTGAGGTATTATATATTTGATTGAGCCAATTGTATGCTGGAGCTAAATTTCATTTAACCATTTTGTATTTACGGAGATTGGGGAGGCGTTACTCGCAGTAATATTTCACGTGATTTAAGGAAATTTTTTTTATATTTGATTTTATCAACTCATATTTCTTCTTTTAAGGGATTATTAGTATATAGCTACAGTTAAGGAATTAGTATGGAGCTATAATTAAGGTATTTATTTATTTATTTATTCTATTTTTTTTCTGAATAGTTAAAGTGACACATGTCAAAAATAATTATGACTGAAAATAGTTTTTGGGGAGAAAATTTTTATTGTAGTGCTAACACATCAGTAGTTTGTATGCTGCTTTAATTAAGTACTATAGATATATTTCAAAAACTTAATGTTAGACTTTGGGGGGCAGAGACAGTATATATTATTGTTTACGTTGGTTTTAAAAAGGATGAATATGCTAGAAAAGATCAAATGGGAGATTGTGGAGTTGCAAACTAAGATCTTCCCGTTAAAACTACCCAAAAGTTTATGAATATTAATGATTGGCATGTCGTGATGTATTGTTCCTCAACTAATTAAAGCCTTTCACATTCGATTTATACTCACTATACATCGAATTTGACTAATATGCATGGATTAAGAGTAGGAAAATCTCGAAATCAAGGACTAATTTGATCATAGACAAAAAAAAAAATGTGGTACAATTACAATGTCATTTAAAAAAGTAGTTAACACTTAACACAATGATCAGAAGCATCCAAAAGAGGACGACCCGATCCGGATCCAGATCCAGGAGTACGTAAACAACACGCTCCCTCTGGGTGCATGCATGGGAGGGAAGCGAAACACTCGTAACAGTTTTGTCCCATAATCGGACCGGCGGAAGTGGGGAAAAACGAAAACCGGCAAAGGGCTGAGAGACCGAGTGGATGGATTCCCGAGACTGTCGTCCCCCCAAAATGCGGATTGTCATGAGCTTCTCTTCTCCCTCACTTAAATCTGAATCCCAATTTCCATCACCAATTTTCCCATTAATCCTCTTTTCTAATCACTATTTCATCCCATTGTATCCTTCACCCTCAATCCTTTCTTCTTTTTTTTTTCACCGATTTGGAAACTGCTTTAGTTCAGGCCTTTTGCTGGTCAGCTTACCTTGGCCCACTCTTTTCCTCTTTCAAGGTGGGATAATTTTATGCTCAGAGGCAATTTGTCGAACAGCTTGTGGGTGTTTCCGGCATGTTGTGTAGTTTATATTGAATTTGCTCTTTCAGGCCAAGTTAATTTGTTTGTCGTTTTATGTGAAGTTTCTGCTGAAAATAGCAAAGGGAATGATCTATTCTTAGAGACATTTTATCGAACAGGTTATCAGAGTATCAAATAGATTTCGTGATTTTTGAATGTCTCGAGCTACTTTTATGGAATTTCTTGTTATGAATTTTTGAATCGTATCATTTATTTAAATTGGAATGTCGAAATAAGTTTTGGGGGAAAAAAAAAAACCCTTCCTCTTGGGACTGTAACGTAGATTTGTGTTGTGGGAAGGATGTGGTTTAATTTATGGCTTCAGGCGTGATGGTTCACTGCTTGTCACGAAGGTTCAGTCCTTTTGTTTTTTGGGCGAGCCTTTTCACTTATGAGCTTACTTCTTTAGCATCTCCTGTTTTTATCAGTGGAATACTAGATCAGAAAAAGCCTTTTAATGTAGACCTGTTTGGCCTTTGACAATGCTATGTTTAAACTTTTTGGAAATGCAGCTAGCCATGTAGAATAGGCAGCAAAAGGCCATAGTTATATGAGTGTGAAATCATTTAAAATTTTGGCTAATCAAAGGTTCACGATAGGTGCTTTGGAGTGAAGATGTATTAGTATATCTTTCTCATTTTGGGTTGCTATGTTGGAAGGGAGGTCATTGGTACTTTGTGGCCTTGTTTTTTGCTTTTTTAGGTCCATAATTTGTTGATTATAGGTGTCTATCTTTTCCAGCTGCAGATAACAGATGGCAGAACCTGAGGATATTCAACCACTGGTCTGTGACAATGGAACAGGAATGGTTAAGGTACTGCTTTGTACATCATTAATTTCTATTTCTAAAAAGTAGTTTAGATCATTTTTCGTAGCAACATATGTATCTTATATTTCCTTAAATTTGTTTTAACATGCAATGTAAATTTTTATCAGGCAGGATTTGCTGGAGATGATGCTCCAAGGGCTGTTTTCCCTAGTATAGTTGGTCGCCCACGTCACACTGGTGTTATGGTGGGCATGGGGCAGAAAGATACATATGTTGGGGATGAAGCTCAATCCAAGAGAGGTATTTTATCACTGAAGTACCCAATTGAGCATGGTATTGTGAGCAACTGGGATGACATGGAGAAAATCTGGCATCACACTTTCTATAATGAGCTGCGTGTCGCCCCTGAGGAGCACCCTGTTCTGCTCACTGAAGCACCTCTGAATCCAAAGGCCAACCGTGAAAAAATGACCCAAATTATGTTTGAGACATTCAATGCTCCTGCTATGTATGTTGCCATTCAAGCTGTGTTGTCCCTCTATGCCAGTGGTCGCACAACTGGTAAGCAATTCGCAGTAATATAAATGCATAATAAACGCTGCAATTACAAGGCACGCTCCTGTTAATAATATATACTGTCATTTGGTTGCTGCAGGTATTGTGTTGGACTCTGGAGATGGTGTGAGTCATACTGTCCCTATTTATGAGGGATATGCTTTGCCACATGCCATTTTACGTCTTGATTTAGCCGGCCGTGACCTAACTGAGCAACTCGTGAAGATCTTGACTGAGCGCGGTTACTCATTCACTACCTCAGCCGAGAAGGAAATTGTGAGGGACATGAAGGAGAAACTGGCCTACATTGCACTTGATTATGAGCAAGAGTTAGAAGCATCAAAGACCAGTTCATCCATTGAGAAAAGCTATGAGTTGCCCGACGGTCAGGTGATCACGATTGGGAATGAGCGGTTCAGGTGTCCTGAAGTCCTTTTCCAGCCATCAATGATTGGAATGGAAGCTGCAGGAATCCATGAAACCACATATAACTCAATTATGAAGTGCGACGTCGATATCAGGAAGGATCTGTATGGCAACATTGTACTCAGTGGGGGTACAACAATGTTCCCTGGGATTGCAGACAGAATGAGCAAGGAAATCACTGCATTGGCACCAAGCAGCATGAGAATCAAAGTGGTAGCTCCTCCTGAAAGGAAGTATAGCGTGTGGATTGGTGGCTCTATTTTGGCTTCTCTAAGCACCTTCCAGCAGGTGAGTTATCTGAATGCCACAACCATGTCTTTTAGCTTGATGGCTGTAACATTTGTAGCAAATACCATGAAGATTAGGTCTAAATTACACTGACAAAACTGTATTTGTGAACACAGATGTGGATAGCGAAGGCAGAGTATGATGAAGCTGGACCTTCCATTGTGCACAGAAAATGCTTCTAATTTGCACTTAGAATTCCGGGTGACAAAACAATATCTCTGACACTTATTTTTTTTGGGAAGATGAACTTAGTTACTGCTTTTGAGCTCTTTTCTACTCCTGCTTGTCTATTATACTTTGGTTTGAGGGAATACAATAACTGAGAGTTTTATTATTAGTGTAGGAAATTGCTGAAAATAAGAGATCTTTCATCTAGTTTTTTCCCTTCTCCGTTTGGATGATCTATGTAATCAATTTCCTTTTAAATGCAAATACTACGAAGTTTTTTTCCATTAGAGACTATCATGATGTGTTACGATTTTTCTATTTTTATTATTCCTTCTGAAAAAATTGTATTTATTAGAAGTAAAATTCAAACAAGACATTTATTACCTATCCCTCCATCATAATATGTATTCATGTTTGTTGAGAGTTTTCTAATTCAACACATAATAAATTTGCACCATAAACCTAAACATTTTAAACCGTCCTTAATTAATTTTTATTTGGTACTAGTAATGAATTCTTTTTTCTCTTCATGAAAATAAATGGACCATACAATCAATCAACTTAGTGAAAGGCTTCTTGAAAAGAGAAGTTTTAAAATAAGGGTTTGTTCTTATAATGTCTTATGAATCTTGTGATTCAAACAATGATTATTCTCTTTTTTGGCTTTAGAATAAATGCATCTCAAGAAAGAGAGGGTGGATAAATGTTCAAAGAGAGCTTGAGCAAAATGTGGGTTTTTTTTTTAAATTTTTTTTCAGTACTTAAAATTGCCCTAAAAAAAATTAGTGAATATGACATGAAAAGGATTAGGCAAAAAAAAAGAAAAAAGGGTGGTAGATGAAGTCCAAATTGGCAGCTGCCTGATGGAGCAATGCCAGCACAATCTTCGCCAATGATGTTTGAGATAATTCCTTAAGACTGCAGACTTAAAAATTGTGGCCTCTGATATTTCTCTCTTGCTTGATTTTCTTCTTCCCCTTGATTTGTTGGCGTCATGTAGTAAATTCATTTGAATTTCGAACAGAATATTCCAAGGGCATATTGTTAAGACTAAGGGATCTCTGATCTTTATTATGCAGAAATTATTAGGAAGAAAGAGTGATTACGTTGGCTGGATTAATTTATTTATTTAAATTATTGCATTCCAACTTTTAAGAATTTTATTATACATGGCTTCTTGCACCTAATCTTTCAACTACTGACTCCTGTGAGTATCATGAGTTCATGACACTTCAATTAACAAACATATTTATAAGATCAAAACAAGGATTACTTTATATTATCTTAAGTTTCACAGGTATTATTTTGAGAGTAGTTTTATGTATGCAAAAGACGTGCAAGACGCATATATGTACTGCATATTCTAGACAATCAATTCCAAAAAATAAAAAATAAAAATCCAATTAGAATAATAATTAGAAACATTAAAACTTGGAAATGCTACCAAAAACATAAGATGGCCCATTATTACTAGTCAAGATATAACGACTTTGGCTTCTTCCTTGTAATTGTGTACAAATTGAGGCGAAACCATATAGAGAGGGACAACGAATCTTTACTTCACCAAATATCCTTTAGATCTGAGGATCTTTTTCCAGAAACAGGGACACAAAGTTTGTGATTAAATTAAGAAAGCTGAGTAAATTAAGTAATTTGAGAGGCACAAATCACCCAAATGCTGGCTTCAGTTTGATGTTAACAGTTGTACTGATGATGATAATTGAAGATCCATTATTTCTTTTTTGCTAAGACTCCCATCACATATTACATCTTATTATTATTCTTCTCTAATTAAATGGTGTTCTAGAGAAAATAGTGTATCAAAATAATTCATTCATTCACTCCCTATGAAATCATATACTCCCTCTGTCCCCAAAAAATAGTACACATTGAGTTTTGAGTTTTGTATTATTTTTAGTACAAATTTGAAAACTCAATGTGGATTTTTTTTTTGGAACGGAGGTAGTATTTATTTTGAAACCATGATAGTGAATAATCATTCATTAATGGAATATCTAACCCATTAATCACAAAAAAAAAAAAAAAACTACTTAATTGAGGAGATTCATGTGTGCGCCGCTTACTTAAATTTATGAAACAAAAATACTTTGAAATATCAATTCCGTCGTAGGAGAAATATCAATTCCGCCAAGAAATTCACCACAATATTTCCAAGGAAGTTTCATTTATGTTCAAATCATATCCGTTGGAATATTGGACTAGGCTCCAGAGAAAACTTTCTTGACATTCTGAAGGAACAATATCAGGGGCTAAAGTAAGATTAACCTAGAAATTGAGGACCGATCAAATAAATTTCATTTGGAAGTAGTATCCTCTAAAAAGCATATAAAAGATTCCAAGAAATCTCAGTTAAGACTTAAATAGAGTTGATTTTTTGGCTCCAAAACTCACTCCTTTCCATGTCGATTTTTCTTCTTTTCTGTTTGGATTTCTTTTCGGTCGAATTACTCACTCTTAAAAAAGTCAACAAAAACCCACCAGAAATCAATCATCATCAGCAGAAAAGTTAACAGCTTTCTTCAACTGTTTCTGCTTTTTTTGTCCTCCCAAAATTGAGCTCCTCTAGTCGTCAATGGAGGTGCTAAGCCCATCTCACCCACCGGGCGGCCAAACAGATATCCTTTTTTCCGGGTTTTCTCCACCGCATAATTTCCTAATTGGGGCTCAGCGGCGGAGGAGGATGAGGAGCCCAGAAATGATTACCTATCCTTCTCGTTCTGCAGAAATTGTTGAGGAGGAAGGAGGAAATGGCGAAAAGGTACACGTGGCAGTCGGGAAATCAGTGGCCAAGGTGGCTTCTCTGCTGAACTGGTGTTTTAGGACTTTTCCCGGTTCGGAAATTTGCATTCTTCATGTTCACAAACCTTCTCCGCTGATTCCCACTTTATGTATGTCTCTCAAGCTGTAACTCTGCATTTGTGTGTGTGTGTGTGTGGTTTTTTTTTTTCTTTTTTTTTTGACATTTGTTTTTATGAATGTTTCATTGTTCTATTCTCTTTATACATTTATTTATTTCTCTTTTAATTTTTGGTTTCTTTATCTAATAAGAATGAGCTTAATCTTCTTTGGTTTCATTGGAGAGTGATGATTGTTGTCTTATTTATTAACGCAGTGGGAAAATTACCGGCCAGTCAGGCAAATGCTGAGGTGGTGACCGCATTTAGAAATGAAGAGTGGGAAGAGACGAGGAAACTTATGCATAGCTACTTGACACTTTGTACTGCATCAAAGGTTTCTTTGTCCTTTGCATTTACATTAATGTGAGCGATAAAAATTACTTTTATTTGGAGTTGATTTTAATGTGAGCATTAAGATGAATAACTTAAGCTTTCTTGGCTCCAGCAATCTATTTTAATACCTAAAATCAAATCAGTATCTTTCATTCTAAAATTTTAAGCTAGCTGATTGAAACCATAAATGGTTGATTGTAAGGATTAGAAACCACTTGGCTTTGATTTCACTTGACAGATCCAAGCCCTCAGCGCTAACTACATTGCGAAAATTGGTCGGTTAACTATGTGTTTTCTTTGATGAAATATTTGCAGCAAAAATGTCAGCCAGTTTTTGGGGGCTATTTTTGACCCAAATATGCTTTGAAGTTCCTTGAAATTACCAGCTAAAGGCATATAAATGTTGTCATGCAACTAAATTAAACTTAGGCTGAAAACTAGCTGGTTATGCCAGCCGGAAATAATGACTAATATCTGGGAGGACATTGATATTGGCTCATCTCCACTTCTAGTTTACTTATTCCTCAGGATATGATCTCTAAACAATATTGGTTTTCTTGTTCCGGTGCTTTTGAAATGTAAACTGCCCATGGCTTATATACCGATGTTTGGTTGTAACTACTTTGTCAGGTTAAAGCGAGCATTCTTACCAGTGAATCTGATCAGGTTCAAAATGAAATTGTGAATCTTGTTAGCAGACATGACATCAAGAAGCTTGTCATGGGAGCTGTTCCAGAGTATGTGGCACAGTTTTCTGCAAATTTAATTTCCAAAGGGATAATATGGTGCTTCAAACTTTCAACTTTCAGTCATAAAATTAGTAGTTAATCATGATTTCGAGTCTGGGTTCAAAGGTTTCACATGCACTTTCCTTTGGTTTAAGTATTGAATTCTATTGGGATATTAGGGTTGGTGTATGTGTATCATAATCTCATTTTACTGAACAAGTTACTGATGCCACAAAAGTACTGTAGCCTTCAGATAAGATTGTTGGGTTTCTCTGTTAAAATGCTGGTGAAAGAGTTTGACTTTGCAAATTAACATTGGCGGAATGGTTTTTTTTTTTTTTTTTTTTGGGTTTTGTGGGGGGCAGGGGAGGAGTGGGGTTGTTCACATCAATCTTACCTTTCTCTTTACAGAAATCTGACATTACTTTTTCACAGCTGCTCAAAGTTGAAGAAGTGCTCCAGTAAAGCGAGCTACACTGCCAAAATGGCTCCTCCCTTCTGCAAGATATGGTTTGTCAACAAGGGTAATTTGGTCTGGATAAAAGAAGATTTGGAGGATTCAAGTTTTGCTGCACCACTTCAACAGGAATATATCCCAGCATCATCAAATTTAAGATCTCAGTCTGCACCTTCTTGCAAGGGTTCCCTTATGTTCCATCCAGAATGTATTCGCTCGAGCTCTGATAACCGAAGCTTACACCGCACTGCAAGTTTAAGCTCCAGTTCAGGATGTACTTCATCTGCAGAGCCAAGGGCGTCTTCAGATTCAATTGCAATTTTTGAGGAAGATGGCTTATCTGAATGGCTTGAAGAACTTAAAAAAGAGGCTGAAGAATCAAGAGACGAAGCTCTCTCACAGCTCTCTATCCGCAGGAAATCGGAAGCTGAAGCTGCGAAAGCTTTCCGCAAGGTGAGCTTGTTTCATGTCTTCTGGTATTTGATGTCAGTATCCATTTTTAGTCAGAAAACGCTTCATCTATGGTTGTTTTGAATGCTTAATCTAGAATCAGAAATTCAGTTTTACTTCGAGTACAGGTGACAAGGACCTTATCTTGTCTATCTGTTCATATATTCTGGTTGGCCGTCCAAGTCAAAGAATTCATTTGAATCTAGCTTTCAGTAGTCTTTATTGTTTAGCTTTTTACAGAATATAACACTGACAATGGTGAACCATTCTCAAACCTGTGAAGGATCAAAGTCTGAACTTCCTCTCTCATTTAGATTTCAGGATTACATTACATTACTTTCGAGTTTTTGCTACTATTTTTGCTAATTTTGTCATTATCTTAGGTCAAATCTTATGAATCTGCTCATGCACTGCAAGTCAAACTCAGGAAAGAAGCCGAAGCGACATTAAAAAGCATAGTTCAGGAGCAAGATAAGCTCTTGGAAGAAAGAGAGGTTTTAACAGGTGACTTGCAAAAGGCCATGAGAAATATAGCCATCCTGGAGAGCCGCACGCAGGAAGCAAATTGCCGATGTGAAAATGTTGCAGGAGAATTGAAGCTAATACAGGTGTCTCTGGCAGCATTAAGTCAGGAAAAGCAGAAGATCCTACGTCAGAAAAATGAAGCCATGCAGTGGCTTGATCACTGGAAAGGTCGTGCTGGCATTATAGCACCTAAACCGCAATTCACTGGAGATACATTGGATGTGGTTGAATTTTTGGTGTCAGATTTAGAGTCGGCAACATGCAGTTTTTCAGAGAGTTTCAAAATTGGAGAGGGAGGATATGGATCTGTTTACAAAGGGGAGCTTTTGAACAGAACTGTCGCCATAAAGACACTACGGTCTCTCTCTATACAGAATCAACCAGAGTTTCTTCATGAGGTGAAGTATTTTTTGCGAGACTATTTTTTCGGATAAATTGGGTTTGAGAAAGATTTGAGTTAATAATAATAAAAAAAAACATCCGTCGTATAGTAACAGAGATATAATTTTTGGCCTTGAGAAAAGAAACAAGACCAGCAAATATTAGTCTTTTGGTCCTGTTATTACGAAGAAAGGGTGACTTAATTAGCAAAGGACCGAAAGTTTTAAGAGTAATGACTGTTTTGGTCCTTTTTCTTTTCTGAAAAAGAAAACTGGATTTTTTGGGTCCTGTTTATATCAAGTGATTTAACTAATGAAGCACTGAAAATTTTAAGAGTAAATGACTGTTGCTATCCTTTTTCTTTTGTGATGGTCAAATCTTGAGTTCTTAACTAAATGTTAGGGATCTGATTTTCATTGTGTTTGGGACGAATCGTGGATCCACTCATAACTTTTTGTTGTGAATATTTGCTTATGAAATTTATTTTTCTCATTGCAGATCGAAGTTCTTGGTAGACTTCGCCATCCTCATCTAGTACAACTCATTGGTGTTTGTCCCGAACTCCGGTCCCTTGTCTATGAATATTTGCCAGGCGGAAGTCTCCAAGATCGCCTTTTCCACAAGAATATTCTTCGGCCATTAGACTGGAAAACTCGAGTACGGCTCATTTCGGAAATCGCAAGCGCCCTACTATTTTTGCACTCTTTAGGCCCTGAAGGACTGGCACATGGCGACCTGAAGCCTAACAACATTATACTAGATTCCAAAAACACCTGCAAAATCTGTGACTTTGGGATATTCCGATTAGTACTGGAAAAATCTCTTCGTTGCCCAAGTTTCCGAAAATATACCGAGACAAAAAGTGGGGCATTTCCATATGCTGATCCAGAGTTTTATAGAACCGGGATCCGGACTCCAAAGTCTGATATTTTCTCATTTGGCCTGATCATACTTCAGCTACTCACTGGAAAAGCAGCTCCTGCAGGGCTGGCCTGTGATGTACGGAAAATGGTCTCATGTGGGAAAATAACATCAATATTGGATTCATCTGCTGGGGAATGGTCAACATTTGTTGCAAGGAGATTGGTGGACTTGGCGTTGCAATGCTGTGAATTAAATGGGAGGGATCGGCCGTGTTTAACCCCAATGTTGGTTAGGGAACTGGAGCAGTTACACGTCTTGGAGGAGAAACCAGTGCCGTCGTTTTTCTTGTGCCCTATTCTTCAGGTAAATTTTGCTTTGAAGATGTTTTCCTTTTGTGCTGAAGGTAAATGTTGCATGCTGACCACTTCAGTTGAACAGGTTGAACCTTTTGAATTTGTTTAGATTTGAGAATTTTCGTTTGCATCCTTTGTCATATTCAATTGTAAAGGGTATGAATTCTGATTTTTCCAAAGCTGGACAAAAACTGTTTTTGGCTCCTCATAAAAGTTTGAATTGGGTGGGTAATCCGATGATTTCCTATAATAATTGAATTACAGTTTGCAAAGCTCCATTGTTATTACAATAGGATCCAACTATAATGAGCTAAAAAAATTAAAAGAATTTTCTTTCATCCCAATTTCAGATTATAATTCATTTAATGGTCACTCTTCTCATGTTTTTTGATTTCCAGGAGATAATGCATGACCCTCAGGTGGCGGCAGATGGATTCACCTATGAGGGAGAGGCTTTGCGTGGTTGGTTTGAGAATGGCCGCGAGACTTCCCCAATGACTAATTTGAAACTGATGGACTTGACTCTAACTCCCAATCATTCACTAAGGCTCGCCATTCAGGACTGGCTCCGTAAATCATAAGATTAATTCTTTCTGCAATTTGCTTGGCCTTAATTTACTCGCACATGTATAGCATTGTATATGGATACCTAGTTTATTTACGGCTGGAGTCAATCTGTACCAAGTAGCGCAGATATTTATATACCTTTTAAGTAGCAATACATAGTTAGGACGATTGAAGGGGATCTATGTTACCCGGACTCGGGTACGGGTGTCGGTGTGCATTCGGGATCTGAGTGTGGGATTCATCGATATTGTAGAAAAAACTTAAATTTACAACGAAAACTTCATACCCATATGCCACACCCGCACTAGTGTCGACACGGGTACTGTGCCCCTGTGTGAAGAGTCCGGGTAACATAGAAGGTGATACAGGTTAATAGGTTGATTAAATAGATGCAGAATTTCAATCTCGTGAAAAGTTTACTGTAATTATCATACAGCAATGTAACTCAAAATAAGTGCAAGTTATGGAAAAAGAAAAAATATTTTCTCCCAGAACTAGATGGATGAGTTTTTTTTTTTCAATACCAAATCAGCAAACAGTCCACAGAAAGTTATTAGTTGGAATAAGAATTGATCAAAGATATTCTTTAATTTACTAGTAATTGAAAATCTTTCGTCAACAAAGTGGCAGCATTATAGAGGTGGTTGTAGTATAAGAAATGCAAGAATGGTTGTTTTGGGACAGTAAAACATATGTCTGGCTTTGCTAAGCTCTGCTAAGCATTCATAATCCATCTATTCCCATGATTCATAATCCAAAACTCCAAAGCAGCAGACGTGAAGAACCAAAACTCCAAAAGCAAAATGAATTTCTTAGTGTTAATCTTCTTCTCCCTCTGCTTTCTGCCCTTTGCAGCCAACTTCCACCCACGTACGACCAGAGCCTCTTAATATCACTGCTAAAGTTGAGGCCATAAAGAAAGTTATGGCCTTGAATGTCACCCATCTACTGAACAATCCTGTCAACCTATCCGAACTTGAAACAAATGAAACCATTGTTCTTCCGTTGTATAACACCAACTTATTTCTGAGATCATACCCCCCTCTTGACCTCGGTCTCATGGGAGCAGGGGAGAATATCTTTTTCGAATTAATGCCTGAAAATTTACTATATATAACTCCTATCGGAATCGGCACCCCGCCGCAGCGAGGAGTCTGGGTAATTGATACAGGGTCGGGCGTGACGTGGTCGGTTTGCGATCCATGCGACCACAACTGTCCAGCATCATCATCAACTTTTCACAAGTCTCTGTCATCGTCGTTCCAGATGGTGGACTGCCACAACACTAATGAATGCTTTGGAGAGAACTTCGGTTGTGCTTCAGTTTACAGCCGTGCCTGTGAATTTCGAACTGGCTATGCTGGGGGTGCGTATGTTTTGGGAATTATGGGATACGACAGAATCACGCACCCATCTTCCCGCGAAACTCTCACTAACAAATTTAAGTTGGGCCCATCTCGTTGATCAACCAACTAAATGTTAAATCATTCAGTTCTGTTCTCCAGCTGAGGAATCGCCAATAGCGTCCAGATTAATCCTGAATGCTCGGACAGACCAGAGAGGCTCCGGCACAAGAATCCTTCCAATCCTAACTCAAGATAGAAGCATGCAGTACTATATCCAATTCAACGGAATCATAGTTGATGACGATTACTTGCAAGTCGATGCTGCTGCTAATCCGAGTGAAACGCGTTACGCCTTCATCGATACAGGGGCTCCAACATCGCATCTGCCGGCTGAGTTCTACGTGAGATATCGTCATTCCTTCAAGAAGCACATGACGTCATTCCTTCACGAGATCTTATTTCTACTTCTTCTTCTACGTGAGCTACAGTACTGCGTATTGAATTGACAAACCAATTAGTTGGGATGAATTCACCGAAAAAGTTTGAGAATGACTGAAAGAATTACCTCCACTATTGTGGACAATATATCGTCATTGTTACCCGTTTTGCCAACTTTGTTGCAACTCTCTTTGTTCTGGATGCTCCTCTCCCGAATCTAATTATTTGGAATGGAGAAACTCATTTCAGCCTTACATGTATCACGTCAAAGGATTTTTGAAATGATACAATCTATATTTAAAAAAAAAATCCTAATACATCACACCACATAATAATTCTTTCGGCTTGCTTATGGAAATAATTTTGACCAATAAACTTCAATTTAGATATCAAACTTTAAACAAAAAGCACTAAATTTTAGGGAAGATTTGGATTAAGGGCAGTGGATTATCATCACCCTCCTCCTTTCCCCTACCAATCAAACTAAGCAATTTTTTTTTTTTTTGACATTTATCAAACTAAGCAATTAAAAAAGTTACAAAGACGAAGAAGTAGAAGTAACAAATAAAATGGGAGCTCATTGGAAGAGAGATGGACATTGAAAAAGAAAAAGGGAAGAATAATCAACACTTGCTTAAAGAAGATAAGAAAGAATGTGTTTTGTCCAATTTTCAAATTTTGAATCCGATTAATATCAAACAAAAAAGTTACTATTGATAAGTATAGTTATTAAATTTGATTAGTGTCTTTCTTAATTCAAAATTTAAGAAAATTGCAATGTGGCATAGATTATATAGATTATTATATGAGATAAGTGAAACCCAAATTAGATTTGGATCATGACTAGAATCCCTCCACGGTCCGATCACCACACCCCAATCGGATTCGAAGAAAAAACAGAGCAACTCCTCCGGTCTCTGTTCTATATAAATCAACCCAATGAACGTAATTGAATTCCGTCTTCAAAAATCATCAACAACACGATCATGGCGAGAAAAGCGTGTGTAAATCTGCTGACGACATTGTTCCTCCTCATCCTGGTTTGGCCGCCGGTAACAAGCAGCTTGTACTTGCGAAATTACACCCGTCGTCCAACAACTATCGACGACCTTTGTGGAAAGCTGGGGACGGACGAGCCGGCCTGGCCTCATAAGTATTCTCTCTATGCCTTGAATATTATTAAGCTATCCGACAGCGATGTTGCGGGAATCAGGGACTGGCTCTGCCGGATTGATGCTCCATCCAGCAATAAATATTTAAGGCGACATCCTTATGCCCCAAGGAAATGTCTAAAGCACCATCCTTGTCCCATTAACCAAGCCCCCAACAGCACCGCCAGCAACACCGCCTTCGTGGAGAATTGTGTGGCGGCGCTCTTCGATACACCATGGTATTCGTGGTTGGACAGGATGAAGTGGAAGCACCTGGATTGCCATCATTACTTTATGAGCCTGAGCAAGATGATCAAGCTTTACAGGAACAGAGGCATGTGTATGGCTCGGGGTGATTTTCAGCTGGAATCCTACCTTCGAGCCTTGCAAAAGGTTCCCTTACAAAACCAACTCCTGCTTTGCCCTCCTCGTTTTTCTACTAGATTTCAGAGATACTACCGTCTCCCTTGTCCCGCCGACCTGCTTAGGTCTCCTCATCCGCTCCCTATGTCACACGTAGATTCGAATTTTTTTTTTTAAGTAAATTTTAATTTTTTACATGTTGCTTGCTTTGCGGGAACCAACAATGTATTCCTTCTTATTTACTCCATCCGTCCCAAAATTATTGTCCAGTTTAATTATTGTCCCAAAATTAGTGTACCAAAAGTGAAATTTCAAATTAGACAATAATTTTGAGACGCATGGAGTACATATTATTTTTTCCATATATAATAATACTACTTTATTTTATTTTCCATATATAATAGTGGTACTCTGTAAAAAAAACCCCTGTTCTTTTTGTCAAGTTCACATAGGGAAATCAAGAACCCAAAATTGGCACTCTAATAAGAGCAGCTAGCTTAAGCAGTACCTTTATCCCTTCATCTATCAATTCTACTCATCTATACATGAAGAAACTGTCTAACTTTTATCTATCTACTTTTATCCTCACTATGAACATATAAAACATAAGTAAAGAAAAGGGTCAGAACGGCAAAGTGTAGCTTGCGTGATGGTTTTCTTTTAAATGCTCTAACCAATTTCTTCCAATCCTGCATTTTCATCCTCGCTGACCTCAATTTTATGACCGAACAAAGCCATACGAGCAGCCATACGTGCAGAAAGCACTATATGTTCACTCACCTGTACAAATTAAAACAACTATGAACAAACAGTCGAGGCAAGCGAAAATCACAAGGCAGAAAAGAAATGTCAACTTAAACCCTACGCTGTAAACAGTCATACCACATGAAGAGATGATACTTCAAAAGAGATCGGCAAAGGGGGAAATTAAGGGGAGCAAGAAAAGTAAAATTGCATCAGGTAACAGCTGGAACTATAAAGATTTTTTAACAAGCAAGGATAGACTTCGAACTCACAGCTGCAGGCCGCCAAAACGTTTTTTCAGCAACAAGAAAATCTGCACTATAAAGAGTTGTTGACCAATGCATTGATTTGAATATTAATCCAAGCATATCAATCACATCTTTGGTGTCGCGGACTAAGAGAGTACCCCCTGGTCTCAACAAGCGGTCAATCTCCACAGCAACATCAATGATGTCACACCTAAACGGAAACGGGGAAAATGAAATTCAAAAGTCATTTAAACTTGTTAACCATCAATGTATAAAACTTCTTAAAAATAACAAATAGTTTACCTCTGACTTAAGGTTTCTGTATTGATTTTTGTGTTTAAAAAGTAAAATGAGATAAAATGCAAAATGGAAGATTGGCCAAACAAGATTATCTATCTTGCGAAATTCATCTCAATATTACAGTACTAGGTGTTAGACCCGTCCGATGGACGGGGAAGGCATACACATTTAGACATTTTTACATAAATTTTATATTTTTATAAAATATGTAATGACTTCAATTTTAAACATGATTACCTCTGGATTTACAAGAATTTATTTTTTTTAAATGACATTTTGAATTCACTGGTGATAAGGTTTATGCAGATCTCTCTAAAATTTGTTATGATTTGGTACTCTCTCCAATCAATCTCTGTGTTAGGATTTGGTTCATGAAAATAAGGGTTTAGTTTTTATTATTTTGCTTTTTTTAAAAATTATTTTAGTTGCTTTTTTTTGTTTTATTATTTTGTTTTGCGCATTTTTAAGTCTAAAAAATTAAGAAAATGCCACATAAGATTTAATCCTATGTGGCATGTGATCTATGCCTTTAGTTTTCTCATTTTGGTTTTTGCCGTAGTATAGTATATGTAGAAGATAGATAGATAGATAGATATGTCAAACATTACATTTACATTGATGGTCCAAAATTCTCAACATTGTATCTCAAACATAACATTCAATGGATGGTCCAAAATTCACTCAGTTAGTTCCTGCGAGGCTGTGATGACATTGATGACCAATGACGAATGTTCCATCAGAGAAAAGCTTCCCCACACATCTGGAAGTTCTTAAACTAGAAGAAAATGCATTTCCAGGAGAGTCCGTGGCACACTGAAAACAGGGTGGTGAATTGGGAGTCTTAAGTTCATTTCCAATTCTCAGATATCTTGAAAACAGATGATAAGCTTGGTCCCCAAAACTTGGCAAAAGCTTCTAATCATTAGTTAGTTCTTCGCAGAGAGGCCGCAAAAGCTAATAATCATTAGTATCTTCTAAAGCCTCAGTTTATCCTCTAGATTATTGATGAATTTTCACAAGGCCCCAGTCTTGTGAATTACTCGTGTGAGCGGGTCATTAAACAAGACTGAAAAAGTTGAGTCTGCTGGGTGCTGAGGTTCTATAATGCAGTTGTTCTTTCTGGCAAATTTGCTCCAGTTTTCATTGAAAGGGATGGCAATAGAGACACCGAGAACGGTATATGGCTTAGAAGTTAGGGTTGGGGAACATAACAGATATAAACAGGTGAGAATATGATAACAGATGTTGTTGTTGATCATCCTGGAAGTTAAGCAAATAGTATAAGAGCTGGCAAGTGACTAATTTTATTAGTGCATAGTCAACAATTCAACCAAACATCATCACTGCCAATCTGTAGACAACATGAATACAACTTCAAAAAATAAACTGAATTTTCTGCTTGTAAAACCACAAGGGGTGGTAAGTGAAGCAAGGGCAGAGTTCCTACAATTATTCGTACTACTTATTATCAGAATGCTCGAAGGACGCGATCATTTGTTGAGAGCAATGAAACTTTTTTGTTTAACTGCTCACCGAGATTAAAAGGATGATCATCATCATCTTCGAAGGAGATACCCTGTATCATTAACCTGGAATCTCCATCTTTCTGATTATTACTCAAAAGTGCGTTCGACTCATCTGCTGTATCCCATTCCTCGTCCAAGCCCTTTGGGGTCCGGTTTTCCTTAAAACTTGTAAGAGTATTCTCATTTCCAAGTTTCCCTTCATCATATAATTTGTGCAGAGAAACTGGGTTCTCACTGTTGTTCTCCTGTTTTTCCTTCAGCTTTCCGTTGGTGGCATCGCTATAATCGAACAACGAAATGTTCTCTTTCTCATTTCCATGCTCGTGAAATTGAGAATTGCACTTTGCAAATGACTTGAGGGTTGATGATTCTATTTCCTGGAGAACTACTTGATCATCTGAAGAAGAAGAAGAAGAGCTCCTAACAGAAAAGCTGCCAAAACCTTGAATTCCTCGTGTTATAGACCTGGCTCTGTTGCGCTCTTCTTTGAGAAGAGCCCGGTTCTCAAGCAGCTCCAAAATCTTCTCAGATTTTCTCCTTACTTGAAGACCCCAATTGAATCTGCAATTTTGAAGCTCAAAAACTTGGTCTCAGGAACTGGAAACAACAATGTTTGAGGAAGAAGAAGGAATTTAGAAATGAATGAAAATGCATACCCTTTCTCATCAACGTATTGCAAATCCCCTGTTTCTTTAATACCATCAATATCAACTTGAAACTCCTCAGCAACCCTCTCGGGTCCATGAGTCAACAAGTGTTCTAACACAATCATTGCCTTGTATGATACCCTCCAACTTTTTCTATCAAAACTCATCAATCTGAACCAAACAACATCAGTGTAAGGAAAAACATGCCAAAAATTGCAACTTTTTAATTTTTACAGCAATTAAGTCTTCATTTCGGTGATTCACTGTGTGTGTATCTTTTTCTAATAGTGTATGATTAGACAATACACATACATACACTACTATTTTCTGATGTCCTTTTTATCAACACAAATAACAAGAATGGTGAAAACAAGATCTGAGGAAGAACCTCTTGTGCAAGATGTCCACAATTCTCCAGTAATCATCGATTTCAAAAGCAGCCTTTGATATCATCTTCAAGGTACGAGTGTCTGGAACCCCTGGATTTCCATTTGTAGCTTCCTCAGTCAACCTGTTTGAAAACAACAAAGCATACCACCATATTTGAATACTAGTATACAGTACCAACATCAGACAACCCAGATAAACAACAATCACTTATAATAATCTCAGAGATTAATTGGACAAGAGAAAAGAAAGACTTACAACTGAATTGGAGTGACATCAGTAAGAACTAATCTGGCAGTCTTGATCTTCTCCTTGAGGAAGAAAGAAGCCTGTTTCTTGAATTCATGGAAAAATGGTGATGATCCCATATTCCCAGTACTGCTGCTGCTGCTGCCGCCTAGGATGGAGGACATGATGAATCTTTGAACTGATCCCAGAAAAAATGAATCTCTGAAAAAGCAGAAAAAAGAAGGAAGAAAAGAAAGAAGGGATTTTTTTTTTTTTCAGATGATCTTGCTGCTACAATAGTGTAAATGCTCAACTAATCAATGACGCCACAGAGTTAAGACCTGCCTGCCCCCCTTATCTGAAAAAGTAGGTGAAAGTTAGGATTCAAACACTTGGGAGTTTGACAAATTCTTCAATGTCGATTTCTTGAGTATTTAAAGAGAGATGAAAATGATGGGTTTGGTCTGAATCACAGAGTTAGGAAATCGGGATCTCCGTAATTTCCAAATTGGAACTATGGCGTCTTTAATGGTTTTGGAATTGAATATAAGTGCACATTGCCCTGTTTATTAACCCGACAAAGTAGTTGATTAATCCTTTTTATTGTGTTATTTTTGATCATATTTTTATTATTAGTTTACTACTATACAAAAGAAAAAAGAAAAAAAGATGTGGAGTCAACATGTGAGATGGGGAGAGTGATATGTTGGTGCCGGCCTTTGCGGTTTTGAATTTTGAAAATCTTGAATGGTTTTGAGTTTTTTTTTTTTATTTATCCAGGTGAAGTTTTACTTCTTCCAAGGAGGGCTACCTTGTCAGTTGTCAGCAGTATGTTTTTCGCTAATGTCTCATTTTCTCGTACATTATTGGAACTTGGATGTGTATTAGTATTACCGATATCGTAAGTGTCTTGTATCTTTTTCCATTTTGTTACATTTTTATTTTTTTGGGTTTATCTTTCTTAATAAAGTAAATTATTATATTACATTAAGACAAAGAGAGCAAAGTGCTTTGATGGCTCCTTATTCGGCATGTTGAGAAAATAAGAGGGGTCCGTTGAACGACTAAAAACAAAAACAATGTGAAAATGTCTAATGTGCAGCAAAATAAATGAATATTGGGTCTACATTATTGCTAAAAAACTCAAAAGAGAAATCAATGTTGGGTTAAGATTGCACAAATCTTAGAATGGCATATCATTGACTGCTATTTCAAGCCTCGTTCAACTGCCATGCCATCCCTTTACCATTACAAAACACTCTTATCATTACAATTTTGAATTAAGCAAGTTTGTTTTTCTAACCAGAAATATGAATCTTCGGAGACTACAAATTCAAGCCCAAAAGAAATTAAAATAATAATAAGAATAAATTCGTTGGAGTGGAGGTAGACAACGTTTGACCTTGAACTCTTTGAAGTAGAAAACATTTCTTTTAAACAGATGAAATAAGTGTGCCATTGACTAGTTAAGATGTCAAAAATAATATGCACACATGGTTGGACCAGAGGCTCCGAACATGAACTTCATTCGGTGGGAATTAATTGTCCACGTATAAAATTGAATGTTCTTAGCTCATTTCAATTGGTTAGGAATTCGAACTTTATTGAAGCGTCTTCCCGTAATAGTATTATCTCATTTTCCATAAACTCTACCCATGTAATAGTCTAAGTACTTATCAGTTAATTTAAAAAAAGAAAAACAAAAAATTCATTAAAACCAAAATGTACCACAAACAAATTGTATTATGACAAGATTTCCGCAATCAACAGTAGTAATTGTGACACGGCATGACACATAATACCATAATAATATAATCAAAAGATGAAAAGAATATATTAGGAGTTCATGCAGGGGTGGCGTTGGTTTTGAGGGAGTTTCTAAAATAGAGAGTGGTCTATTCGCCGAAGACGTGTCTTCAGGAGGTTAATTTTATAACGGATTATCTGGCAGTTCTGACAATAAGAGCAGCTTGTGAATTCTAGAAATTATCTGTTTCTTCATCTAGTTTATTGTTATGGCTGAAACACAATATAATTGGTGTTTTTTCTTTTTATTCACGGTCGGTGTGTAATATACAGTTTTAAGATTTTTGTCTCTTTCATTGTTAAAAAAACAAAAAAAAGAAGAAGAAGAATAAGAAGACATATTTCGATAATGTGACAGAACTGTTCATTTTTTATATAAATGCAGCTCATAATATGAAACATACATCACGAGCCATAAATTGTGTTCTACTACCCCCAGTTTTTATTATAAGGCATTTTGATTTTATCTTAGGTTTCACTTACTATGTATTTTTAATTGGAAAAAAATCTTAAAAATATATTTTCACTTTCATTATATTCTTAGAAAATATTTTTAAGATTTTTATTCTAATTAAAATGAAAAATTTAAGACAAACCAAAATGTAACGACAAAGGAAATTGGCATCCCAAAAAAAATGGAGTATTAAGTAACATTTATTTAAATTTTTTTTACTTTCCCTCTCTGTTTTTTTCCCCTCTTTGTTGAAACCCTTTCTTTATAGCAAAATTGTTTTCCACTTGTCAAAATTGAAGGTGGTTAAACCTTGGTGTAGTTTGTCCTACAATTGGGCCAAATTTCGTGGTGGAATTATGCATTTTTCCTATTCTCGTATTGGGCTGAAATGATGTTTACATAAAAGAGGGCCAGCAAGAAAGATCTGATGGGGTTTGGACTCGATTGACAGCCCGGACACACAAAGTTAACATTATTAGAGAAGATGGAGGTGATCCATAATAATGATAATTCGAAAGCACGCTACTTACCGTGATTAAGGTCAACTAGGCTACAAAATTTGTGAATTTTTAAATTCCATTCCGACATCACACATAAGCCATTACATCAATTTTCAAAGGTAAAAGTGCATGACTGAAGTTTTTGGAAACTTGGAAGGCCTTTTCTCCGGGTAAAAAAATTCACCCAAAGTCAAACAGAAACCAGTTTTGTTGCCTGTTGTATCTTCTATGTGCTCTCATGATTTCTGCGTTAAAGAAAAAAAAAAAAGGAAAAAAATTCGCAGGTGTTCAACAAAGTAAGTGGTATTCAGAAGCCAAAGAGGCCTAATGATGGAGCCAGCTAAGAAGGGCTTTGGGCCCATATCTCTGGACCAATGAAAAGTAGCACTCGAGTACCACAAGACTTTCTTCATTGGCCTTCCAAGCAAATGCAACAAAGCTTTAAAAAAAAAAAAAAAAAAGCACTACCAGTTTAGAATTTCCTTTTCCATTTCCCTTGTTTTGTATTTTTTTTTTAAGGAGAGAGGGAGGTTCAAAGTTGGAAAAGTAAAAATATTCTCACAAATACTTTTTTTTATTATTATTATTAATGCAGCCTACCAATTGAGAATAAGGAAAGAAAATCATCAATTTTTTAAAGGAATTTTCACGGATTACACGTACTAGATTGCACTTCATTTTTTCAGTTTGTATCGATGAGATAAATTGCTATTTGAAAATTGGCTCACATTATATACACACAATAGCAATACCTTTTTTTTTTTTTTGTTTGAGATTTTAATTATGTTTATTATACTTACATAGTACGGGTGTATCACAAACAAGACTCATCAGGAAAAAAAAAATAAAAAATTGAACCCACTGCTGCTGGTATATGCTTTCAGGAAAACATTGTTTGGGGTCGCTTTGGGTGTGCCTCTTGTGAACAAATGAGGAAGAACAGGTTACAAATTACAAGGGTAGAAGGTGTGAATACGAAATTGTGAATGAATGGAAAAGCATTAGGTTTACGTTTACGTTTATTGAGCCACTATGGTTGACCACGTGTGTGTCTCCTCCCTTAATTTCTCTTTTCTAATTTTTTTTTTGGGGGTTAATCTCCTCCCTTAATTCCCTTCCTAAGATCTTCCAAGATTTTGATTCATGTGCGTTATCTTGCACCCGTCAAGACGGCTTTCCGAATACAGATCGAGACGTGCGTGTGTGGAGTCTCCCCCTTAGTAATACTACCTTTCCCTATAAATTTCACTTACATGTGATAGATTAGATACTTAAAATTGTGTATAAAAAAAATTAAAAATTTTAAAAAATCATGTGCTCTTCTGCCCCTTCATTAATTATAATCCCTTAATTTTAAATTTCTTATAGTACTAATGGGTCCGAGGTTTACTGCAATTGCCAATTGTGTATGCATTTCCAATTTGATCGCAGAAACTTCCAAGTGAAATAATTGTATAACAAGTACTACTAGTCTACTACTAAAAGAGTCTAAGACCAGAAAAGCATTAAAGTGATTAGGACATTACTCTCGTAATTCGTAACACAAACATTGTTCAAAAAACCCAAAACACAAACACGAAATGCAATCCTCAATAGAGCCTGTTGAAGATCGCAGAACGTAACAAACTCTTCCGTTTCCTTCCTCTTGCATTCTTGCTATGAACATTGAACTAATGATTCGAATCGATAACATTACAAAACTTTCCAAATTTCAATATATTACAATTTAATTGTACAGCTCGTGATAGTAAAACAGTAACATACTACTACATAATAATCATTTTAAGACGAAGTAAAAGGTAGTTAAAAAAAAAATTAGTAAGAATCTTCAACATTCCTCTTTTCAGTATGGGTGAAAAGAAAAAGAAATGCATGTCTGTTAATATATTCTCTATTTTTAACGAGAGAAGACAGCTTCTGAAACTCCTGGCAGGACTTTGCCTTTCTTTAACTTTATCTTTTTGGAGAAACGATATTTTAAATTGTTACTTTGGTTTACTATTCCCCCTTCAACACAACCCCAAGGTAAAAACAGAGTAACAATATGGTACGAAACAGTAAGAAAATCATATGATTTGTCACAATTTTTTGGACATTCGGAAAAGATAGTTCATATTCCGTGCTTTACCTTTCAGATGGTGTCGATTTGGTCCTTTATCCTTTTTTTCTCTTTTTAATTTCGAATCTCAACAATTTTAAAGTAACCTGCCAATATGTAGACGAATTCTATTGTGAATGGTATATAACAAGGTCATCTTTTCATTACCCGATGCATATATCTCATTTTTCATCCGATGCTAAACACGTTACCAAACCTACTTTATTTTAGTTAATTTTCTTCTAAACTCTTCAAGAAATACACATAACAACATTTTTTTTTTTTTTTTTAAAAAAAAGATAACAATCATACTGTTCATACATACCCTAAAAATAAGGGACTGAAGAATGATACCGCCCGGAAATAAGGGCAAAAAGCTTCAATATTCTATATGTATTTTGCTTGACTTTATTAATCTCTCTCTGTGGTTTTAGGCCCCTATAAACCTACGCCTGTGACAGTGTCACTGTCATGTTCAAACTTCAAAGTTGGTGTAAAACACAGCACACGTAATTAAACTGTAAAGTTGGTTTAGATTTAAGATTCTTTCACTTCTTTTCCTTGTTTCAATCAAAAGATACTCCAGACATGACACCTCCTCATATATATATTTATTCATCCATTTTAGCTACCTAGCAGATGCCCTCTGGTCTCTATGGCATATTTTGTAGTACGGAATTCTTAAGAGACAGATACAGATTTTTTCCTTTTGGCTGAAAAAAATTCTGTCAAAATCCAGGCCAAAAGCAACAACAACTGCAGGAGTACTTGGGCTAGCTTCCAATGGCTCAACAGGTACTCACATTGTTAATTTCCTTTTGGATTCTTGCTGGTTTTTAACCCAGGGCCTAAGTTATTAATGGAAGAAAAAGATAATAATCCCACCTGGGTTTCGGATTAGATTGATGAAATATGGGATTGCATTCATGATGGGTCGATTGTCTTTTTCTTTTTTCATCCCAATATTATTATTGTCCTCTGTAAGATTCTGCAAACTCATTCCAAGCAGTAAATTTTTTTTTTTGTTCTGCTTTTTTGATGATTGTTGATGAGAAGATAATCTTTTTTTTTTTTTCTGATTCTGCAGGAAGAAGGATGGCCACTGGGATTGCAGCCGGTGAATGTGAGAATAGGGATGGTGAGGCCGAGGAATCGTCATTTTTCCGGATCAACTTCCTTCAACACATTGCTGAGCGGGTCTCCTAGCTCTGTTTCTGATTCTTCCTCCTCAGATTTGGATACAGAAGTAAGTAAAACTAGAGATAAAAATCAGAGAATTTTTTTGCCTGTTTTTTTTTTTTTTTCACAAAAGAAAGTTTATTAATTTTTAACTAGTACTAGTTAAGTTAAACAGTAGTTGAAATGACATGGTGGCCAATATTCAGTTTGGTTATTGTTTTCATCTGTTTTGCTGTCAGTATTCTGCACTAACTGCTGGTTATGCCTCCCCTTTTATGCTCTTCCTGTTGCTCATAATTAAGCAGGCCAATTAAATATAAATTGCCGTTTATCTTTTACAAATCACAATGAGATGTTTCTTCAGTGCATAATTTTTACATCACAAGTAGTTGAGCTTTTCATTCCAGTTTGGTCAAATTTCCTAGTCACACTTTTCATTATGCTTCTGCACAATGGAAAAGAATTTGTGAGCATTTTGCCATTTTCTCCCCATTTACTCCTGTTACACTTTTATTTTGCTCCATTGAAGTCTTATTGACCTTTCACCTTTTTATAGCATTTTCTTCTGATGATGCTGACATCCCCCATCCAGTCATTTGTTAAATTTGGCATCAAACTTCTGTGATGCTATCATGAATGATGATGAATGTGCATTTAACATTCTTGTCTTCTAATATCGTATCCTCTGGTTTTGATCTTCCAATTGCATTTGAACCCCAGAAATTGACAGTGCTTTGGACTTTTGTATGCATATGTATAAGTTGAACGGAATATGATCATATTCTACTGAGTGTGAAGCATTTATGGAAACAGTACAGGTGGGACAAGAGGGGGTAAAGTGAACTTATCCAACTGTGAAATGATTTTTCTCAAAGAATACTTCATCAAGATACTTCCATCAGATGATACTGTAAAATTGTAGATTCAACAAGTTATTATCCAAGCATTTATGACACTGAGTATATGCAGTTTGATGACACCCTTAAGTACTCGTCTTGGCTGTAATCTTGCATCTGGTGCTTCAATGGCCTCTGTATTACTTGTAGGAGTTACAATCTTGAAAGCTATTAACTTTACGGAACAATTAGAGCGCAGCACCCAATATAACATATCGCTGTTCTTCAGCATTGCATATTGTTGCAGGTATTCATTATACTTACTCCATCCATCGCCAAATTACAGTAAACAGGAGGATCATTTTGGGATGTGTTTGAGAGAAGAGAGGATCTTTGCTTTGGTTAAACTGGAGAAAGTGGTGAATGAGAGAGTTAGACTGACATTGGAGTGTATTAAAGACTTATCTGATTGATCTGTTTTTTCAGGGCCTAATTTTACATTACAACATGGAAGAAATGGTTCAAATAATCAAATTAGATAAGTTCCTAATGCATCTTAATTTTGATAATTTGCAGTCGACAGGGTCATTCTTTCCAGACAGAAGCACCACACTAGGAAGCCTAATTGGAGTTCCAAGAATAGTAAACCTTCCAAGAAGATCCATCAGGGCATCATCATCCAATAATAACAGGGAAACCTTAGGATCCCAGAAAAACTGCAGGCCATCATCCAGAACAACCTGGTACTGTTTTTCATTATGTCCAACGGACACTACGGACGCAGAGAGTGTCACACGAAACACGACAGCTACGACACCATCCCTTGCACATTTTCTTGAAGTGGAAAGAAGGGCTGCTGCTGCAAATGGAAATGGAAATGGACACAGAAGGAGCCATAGTAGTTCAGTTTTGTATGGCCAAATAAGTTCTGACGATTACCGGATCAATCAAAATACATTGTTCGTAAACGGGCTAATTGCTCCTCCTCCTTCAGCAGTACAACAATCTTCTTCAAGTTCAGCAAATGCAGCAGGGGTTAATGCCAGATTCGGCAGAAATATTGGAGGGTTGGACTTTGAACAGCGCAGTACTGGGCAGTTTCCATGCATGTGCGGATGATTTCTTTCTAATTAAAACATTTTTCTATAGGTCTTAATTTCTGCCCCACAAGAAGAAGCAGCAGAAGAAGAAGAATTATCATTTCATTTTGGGTGAGTTCTTTGATTTTGGAAACTTGTGAGTTCATGAGAGGATCATCCTGCTCCTCGGCAATTCTAGAGGATGAGTATTGCTTATATGCCTTATTCATTTTGGGTTAATTTCATTGATTTTCCCTGAGGTTTTTGCAAACTTCGGATTGCTTCCTAATTTTGTTCAATTTCTCATGAACACTCCTCAAAAATCAGCATAGGTTTATCTGGGAGAAGGGATAAGAGTGAAAGTGCAACGTCAACCTTAAAAAATATTTTATTGGATGTGGCATTTGTGATCGTAATACTGTTAACAACATCAATTACGCCATGGCAAAGTTGTTAGAGGGGGAAAAAAAAATCTATTAGAAAATTCTTGTCGACTTTATCATCGAAATTTATAGACATAGTAATTTTTTTTTTTTGAAAAAGAATTTCGTTGACGAGGGAAATTTATTTTTTAAAAAAACGAAAAACCACTAACTCTTTTCGTTGGCCTTAGGGGTGTCAATTCGAGTTATTGGGTCAATTTCGTGTTATCTATTCCACAAGGTTCATAAGATTTTTTGGAGAAAAAATGAAATAAAAACTCAAATCGTGTCAATCGTATCGTGTTGTGTCGGGTTGTCTCTATAAATAATGTTGTCGTGTCAGAAATTGACAACCCTAGTTGGCCTTTAGCCCCCGAATAAAATTGGCAATTGCAAATTAGTTTTATTATTATTCTTTTTGAAAGAAACAAAATCTATTAGGAAAGGTTATTTTGAATAAGATATCGTCGACAGAATCATCAAGCACAATAAGCTAACAACGAACTCAAGTTACTCAACGAGCGCCAACTTTCTCATCACCCCTTTCAGGCCGGCAACAAGAAACTTAGTTTAGATAAAAAGAATAAAAATAAAAATAAAAAAAACTCTCTTCTCGATAAGTGATTGAAATAAAGTTCCAGTTCAAAAGAGTCAACGTGAGATTCTCTTTTGTTTTGGGGGGAAAAAAGAAAACAATGTTATGGTCGAAATTTTAAGACTGATGAGTAAATTCGACGAGTGTAATTTATTTTGTTTTAAACTGAAAAATATTTAACCAAACCACAGAGTACATTACCCTACTGAATTTGCCGTATTGTGATAGACATGATTAAACGAGGTCGCCTAGATTCCAAACACAAAAAGGTAATGCGTAATGTTTTAACTGTATTTGTCGTATGTTTAGTGCCTAATTCTCCACTTGTCCTTAGGCTTTGTCACGCTAATACAACGCATTTGACAATTAAAAGTTTCATGAACTACACGTATTAGGTACTATGAATTAACCAGATTAGATTGAAGACGACCACCACTTGCTTGACTTCTATTTTATTCATAAAGATATTTTCCAAGATTGACTGATAAAAAAGTTTGATCTGAAAAAAAAAGTACTCTTTCTATGCTAAAATAATTATCGCTTTAATTAGTGAAATTCCAAAATAAATTTTATTTTCTTATTTCAATGCAATTATTGTTCAAATTTTCCAAAGCAAATTACTCTGTTCCCCGAAAACATGTCCTTGTTTCTGGCTTATTAAGTTCCTCATTAATAATGAATGAAAATATATCTCTTTCTATTTTTTAAGGACGACGAGTAGAGTATACAATTTTTTAGTGCCTAGAAAATAATCCACTTCCTTTTTGGACATTGAATACTGTTTATAAGGATTCTTATAGTATACAGTTTAATCACTTTAAAGTACTGAAATGTTTCTATCAAAAAGTGGATGACGTAAAATGGCAAATTATCTGGTGCACCCGGGGACACCGTGTTCCCCTGCAAATTACGGTGCATCCTGCAACTTCAGACGGCTCCAAAATGAATTCTAATTGAAGAATTCTGGCCGCCGACTATCCCAGTCGCCACCTCACACACACACACTCTTCACACACACACACACAAAAAAAGGACTCATCTTATAAAAATCGGCATGTTCGGCGGGGCGGGTTGGTGACCTGCGATTCCGGCGGCCGCGGGAATCGATTCTGGTAGCGGCGGTGCTGAACGAGAAGGTCGATGAAGAAGAGGCGGTGGATTCCGGTGGATTCTTATTCTGATTTGGGATGTCGAATTTGTTGAGGAAGAAGAAGAGCCGCCGAATTTTGTTGATTCCGATTTGGGGTGCACGGTATCCCCGGGTGCACTAAATACAGACTCACGTATCATCATTTCTAGTTAACCATATATGACTACACCACCTATAAAGGGTTTAATAATTGCTGAAGTCTCCATAAGCAGAAGTAATTTATTAAAGTGGCTTTAGTTCCAAAAAACTAAATTGGCTGTGGCTCCAATAAAATCTTTTTTAACTATTAAGAGATGTTAATTATGTGCAGAATCATGACTTCATCTTGATATCGGTAGTGTTAATCAGGGTTTTTTTTTTTAACTCTGAGGCTGACTAGAGATATTTATCTACAGTAATATCCAACGTACAGCATCATAAAAAATTAGTGTTTTGGCAGGGTGTCGTAATTACAGTTTCTCAACCTTACCATTCCACCAATTCTTTCATTCCGATTCAACGACAAGTTATAATAGATTAAACCTTCACCTCGACAATTAAATTGTGGTTGGAACATGATATTATAAAAATAATTTATCACTATAACGTTCTCTACTTTGCAATGTTTAGCCTGTTTTATTAGTTATTCTCTCCATCCCATAATTATTATCTAGTTAGAGTTTACATTTTTAGTTCGAATTGTGCTAAAAGTAAAATTTTAAACTGGACAATAATTTTGGGACAGAGAGAGTATTATTTAAGAAAAATGGAACAGAATAAAGAAGGCGCAGGATTGATGATCTGGTGAGAAAAACATCTCCCAAATTCCAAGCATAAAATGGTTACTCCAGTCAAATATTTTAACATTTTATCCTCATGAGTATGAACAATATAAATGATCCACATGCTAAGAAGTCAACCAAATCCATGGCAGAAGACCAGAAAAAAAAAATGCAAGATAACAAATTACAAAATCCAAAAGGATTCCCAGCTGTGGAAGCAAACAAGTTGATCACATTCAGAAGGAGCGTATATGGACAATTGTGCAATTAAAAGTCAACCATCACAACATGATGGATTAGTTTATTCATGTAATTTTTAGAGATAGATCCCAAATCCATACCAACCAAGAAAGAAGAATAAAAATTTTAGGGAGCCATAAACATATTTGGTATTTGATACTTATTTTAAAAAAAAAAAAAAAATAGTAGAGAAGGAGGGAGACGTCATGCGCGTTCCAATTGACGTTATATAATTCGATGTAGATATTATTTTAAATTTCGTAAAATTAACGGACGCTAAGAATTAAACGTTCAAAATCGTTCTACTCATTGTTGTAAGTAAGCCATATGTGATCTTAATTTTCGGGGACCTTTGATTCATTTTCTTGGCATCAATCATCATCACGTTGACAGAATTCATATAAGCCAGATCCCAATATGGAAGAGTCTGAGTCAATCGCACCACAACTTGTGAGCAAGGCAACAAAGAGAAAATCATCACTTGGTACACATGACCACTTGAGTTGGAAACCTTCTTCTGAATATGAATTTTTAACCCTTTGCATCAAACAAATGGCAATTTTAATGTTTTGGGGACCCTTTCATTATGTTGAGTGGCCTCTTTTTATTTCATAACCCCCTTTTCACATCTTTTCTTATCATGTACTGTATTTAGATTTTTTTTTTTTTTTTAGGGTGTCTCATTTTTCGATCTTTTAAGGTGATGCTTCTTTGATTTAAACTGATTTTGAGCCGAAAGGTTGAAGTAAGGGGAGGAAATGGTCTAAATCACGAAGCCACCTAAGTTATTAACTTTTTCATCTCCAATTAAAGAGTTTTTATGTGTTCCCACGGCTCTTTGAGACTTGATCAATGAAAAAATGTTCTTATATTAGTTAGTTGTACATATAAGATTCGACTTTTCAAAAAGAAAGATTGTGTAATTCTAATTAAACAAAGATAAACCATTGACAAATATAGGAAACAAAGTTGCAACTTTTTCCGTCCTAAGAATTTTGGTTACTTATTGAATAAATTACTATAACAAGAAAAACTATTATTTGGATACGGAGTAATGCTACATGATCTAATTACACACTACATTCAAAGATTTCAAACTTCAATGAAAAATTTCAGAAACAGTTTCAGATGAACTTAAATGTAATTCATTTGAGGGGCCAAGGTAAGCTGCATTGAACATAACCTACAATGATGAATCCATCAAAATTTTATACAGGTCTCTGTGTGGATATGGCAGTATCATATAGCAAAATCGGGTGTAAAAGGGCCCCATGTTGGGTGACCTTATCTCACTTGTTTTTCAGAATATGACCTAATAATGCTACCAATTTCTATAATTGTACTGTGATGCTTACTTGTGGCAGTAGTACCAAATGAATGAGGATGATACCAAATTTTTCCTCTTTCATTCACATATGCATTTATCCCTTTGATAGACAAGATCACATGACCAACCAGAACAAGGACATCCCCTTCTTTTTTCTTTTCTTTTTTTTTTTCCCTTAACTTCAAATGTTGGTTACAAATAATTTTCAACGCAGGAAGAAACATTTTCTACCTTCACACTTCGAAAAAATAATGAAAAGAGACGAGGAGACAAGACTGTGATGTAGGATCTAACATTAATTTCTGCTCACTTTGTTGGACTCTTTCCTTCGGTTTTTGTATAGTACATGTTTACTAATTCTAGGTAGCAGACGCTGAAGAATGTGGAAGAATATATTGAATATTTCTGCACTAGAAATACAAAGAATTGCTTCTATTCAGGCAACTAACTGACAGGCTCTTCAAAGCAACCAATAAACCTTCTTCAAGCTGAAGTTGAAACTTCAAACCAAACATTACAACAACAATGTTGACCCACAGAACAATACATATTTCACCAACCCAAACCTGCAAAACCAACTTTTGCTTTGCTTATTTCCCAAATCATCTACACAGCACAGCAGCATGCAGCACAGGGAGAGAGAGCTATGTGCATATACCACAACATGAACTCGAGTGGGACCCGTCTGTCCACCCGCCCGGCCGCGGGGGAATGCTTGATTGCCACAAGTTTATACCTTTTTTTTTTTTTGGCTCTCATGCATCAACACCTAATGGCTTATCAATCCATTCATTATCAATCGCTATTCGTCCTGAACCTCGGCCGACAATCTTGCTAAGTGAACCTCCTACGGCAGATAAGCCCTTGAAACTGCTACTGCCAGTGCCGCCTTCGCTCAGGCTGTTCCAAGATCTCCTAAATGACTTTCTTGACTTTGGTGAGTGGACGAAGTCCATCTCTATGCTGTTCTTTTCGGGGTGTTCAACCTTTGGAACAATCAACTGGATAATGCTGCTGCGGCAAAAAGGGCAGACTGGTACAGTGGGAGTTCCAGTCATTGGATTAGGCTTGTTATGGCAGCACAAGGCAAGCGTACATTGAGCACACATCTGATGAGTACAAGGTTGGACCTCAATTGTGCAAACTTGATCAAAGCATATGCCACACAGCTCTGCATCACTAGTCTGCATAAAACAAAGATTACCTCGAGATTTAACCATTCATTCGCATCTTAGTCAAGCAAAGACAGCCGATATAACATGACATCAACAAACTTACATGGTTACATAACTTTAATTGTGAGAGTTCAATGCAAATTAGTGCATAAAGCCAGTGATCCCAAATCTAAAGACGTGATAACACGAACTACGCTTTGTTTGGTTTGCTAAGAATTTTGGAACATTCATCCAAGACAAAATCCATTCCATCTATGTTAAAAAATTTGAACCAAAGAGCTTACAATGAGAGGTCTTAAAGATCACACGAACATCAATATTCTTCAAAGAAATGGTAACTGAGCTGAAACTGAACTAGAATTACGAGACAAGAACACTCTTATTAGAAGAAATATAAATAAGAAGAATGACCACGCGTACCTCAGATACACTGTCATCCATTCCAGCATCCGAATGTGATGGAGAAGCTACGGAGAAACCTTTTAAGATGCTCTTTTCTCTTTCCTTGTTTGCCTGCATTAATGCACCTTCTAATAATACCTTGGCCTCCTGATTAAGTTCACTAATGAACTTCAGAGGTGATGGCCAGACGATAGGTTCAGCCGACGAAGGATTCAGCAATGCTGCACAAGCACCATGGTTGTGCCTCAAAGCAACAGTATATGGTATCCTCCTGCAACAGGACAATTATAGCAGAGACTCAGATACAAAACTACAAAAGGCCAATGTGCACAACTTCAAAGCAATAATGGCAAGAGCTAAAGTTACACATATAAAATCAAATGGATGGGGAAAACAGATCTCATCTCACTATTTGAGAAATAAACTCTATATCCAGTGAAACACCCCACAAGAGAGCTTAAAATTTGGGATGAGTGTGCGGTTGAATGGGTACAATCTAACAGTCCTGAATACTATAGTCTCTTAGATACTTCAGAAATCAAAGCTCCATCAAATTAAAATTCACGCAAGGACTATCAAGAAACTGAATCTTCACTAATTAAAACATCTTGTCGTTTGCTCTGGCACGTTAGTAAATCATATAAGAACCCAAAAACAAGAAAACAAGCATACCCAGATGCATCTCTATTAAGTCTATCAGCACCCCAGGCCAAAAGTTCACGGATACAATCAATAGAACCTCCTCTTGCAGCCAAATGAAGTGGAGTGCTACCTGGAAACCTGCAACCAAAGAAAGCATTATAAACAACAAGTTGATGCGGGATTCCAATCGGGTAGAAACCAAAGTAAACCATAAACATACCCATATCCACCAGTTGAAGCACAAACTAGAGCTCCATTATCCAATAACTCGTGAACGCATTCAGGCCGTCTTTGCCTGGCTGCCAAGTGCAATGGTGTTGCCCCTTTCCCATCTCTGATATTGACAAAGCGAGCATATCCCCTTCAGAGGAAAAAAAAAAAAAAAAGAAGAAAGAAAGAACATTCAGACCAGACTAAAAAATTAATGAACTAACTCGGTTATAGCTATACATGAAAAGAAACGTAGATGCAAATTGAGGACAAGCCTACCAAGAAACTGCAACATGCGATGTTCTGGCGGCAGTAAGAATCGCTTTCAGACAATCAGAGTGGCCATAATAGGCAGCATAATGTAAACACGTTCTTCCATTAACTGAATCAAACATCAAAATCTGAAACAATTTCCAACACCACCATTAGGAAAAAGAAAATCTCTAGTTTCATGCTTCATTCAAGGACAGGACAGAGAAATACAGCTGAGAAGAGTCAAATTTGCTCACATTAGCCCCAGCTTCAATTAGCTTTTGCACACAGGAGATCTTTCCATGCATGGCAGCCAACATCAGAGGTGTCTGAAAAAGTTACTAATCAAGATTAAAAACTTGGAGAACGTTGCAATCAAATCGTCAACTATAAAAATTGCAAAAAAGGAAAATCTTCATTCTTTACAGTATTGGAAGCTATACCAATAACCGAATCAGCATCCCAAAAAGAACTAAAGAAAGAGAACTCAACAATTTTGTTCTTACTTGTTTATGGCGATTCTGTAAATCTGGATTAACAGATCGGCTGAGAAGCAATGACAAAACCTGAGAAAAATCCCAAAAAAACCCACCAGTTAAAACCAAAAAAGACTCCAAATTTGGTCAGAAAAACAATAATCTCCGATCAACCCACCTCGATCTGGCCATTGGCAGCTGCTACATGCAAAACAGAGTACCGATCGTGCACAGTGCGATGAATAAGACTTGGCTCTTTAGCCAAAACAGCCTCCACGGTTTCCAAATCCCCGAATTGGACTGCACTGAACAATCCATGTTCATCATTAACTCTGCAACTCAGTCCCTGACCCATCTTTTTTTCAGCTATAATAAAAATTCTGTATTTTTTACATGAAAAATGAAGTGGGTTGTGATTGTTGAAGGACGCCGGAGACGGAGCTCCTCCACCTTCAGTCATGCACCACCGTCTACGGCGGTGGTGAGTGGTTGGTGGTGGCTAGGAAATTGTGTAAAGCGTTCACATATTTATGCAGGGGAAGAAGGGGGGAAGTGAGAAGTGTTGGAGTTTGGAGCTGCCCGAGATGAGGGAAGGGTGCTTCAGCGGGCAGCTGACCGTGTCAGGGAAGGGTCTAACAACAGGCTGACTACGGGCAGCAGTCAGATATTTTGCGGGCAGTTAGATTCCTAAATACCAGTAGTAATACTTTTATCTATATTTATTAACATTAACAATGTTAAATGTAATAAAAATTAAAAATTAGTGTAGAGGGGGAAAAAAGAAACAAACTTTCTATTGCTTACATCAGTTGGCTATGGTTGATTGTTCAATTTGTTTGGTTGCCGGTTCTGTGTCAATATTCTCGAATAAATGCAAAAAAACAAATAGATTTATTGATGCTATATCAACCTCAATTTTGTTGTATTTAATCACCTTCTAACCTCCACTTTTATCTTGAAGGAAATTATCATCCTTTATTTGTTTGAAGTTCTTGTTGTGTTATACTCTATCCGTGCCATAATTATTATTCTGTTTGAATTCTCATTTTTAGTTCAAATTGAACTAAAAGTGAAAACCTAAACTGGACAATAATTATGGGACGGAGGGAGTACTGGCTATTACCCGCACAATGTATGGGTACAAAAATTCAGGTTTATTCGACCATGTTATAATGATAATCATATTAAATTTCATCACTTCAACACTCGCTCTTTTTCGGAAAATAAAAACTTCTATTGAAGAACCAAATTAATCAAAGTCGATATTGATATTTTGTGTCTATACAAAAACATACCAATATTCATAAAATAGGAAGCAATTTTGTATAGGATGGAAAATAGCAGAGTATAGAGGCTAATTAAGTTCTGTACAGTAAATGTAGAATGTTATGGTTCAGTTTGTTTATCAATATATTTTACCTTTACCAAAAAAAAAAAAAAACAATATCTAAGCAAAAGTCTAATACAAGTTGATCAACTGAGTATTCAATATCAATGAAAAAATTCTCCTCTATTATAGAGCAAGTGTTTTGAAAAAATAAAATAAAATTGAGTAATAGATGGTATCGATTAAATTTCTGATCTTTAACTATTTATTCATTTTATATAAGTTTTCTATAATTTTTTAATAGTAGACTAATTTTGATATATATATATATATTTTTTGGCAAATATACTAAGTGATCTCGGGTTAAAATGACATATATTAAAATCGGAAAAATTATTCACGATTCTCATTCTGTATTAAATACAAACTTTTTAATTAAATTTCATGGAATATTTGTGGGGATTTTGATTAGGTAATCCACGTATTACCGAAAATATCGTATAATCATCATTTGTTAAATTCAAAATTCAAAATTCAAAAAGGTAATATAAATTTATTATGTTAAGAGTTATATTTTTGCGTAGCTTTATTTTTTCAAAACGGCTCTACGGCAACTCATATTTACAATGGCAGCTTTTATACTATAAGATTTCTTGACCAATTCAAACAACATTAAGTATTTTACTCTATTGTTAGGGATATGATCAAATAAATTTTTAATTTAGATTATGTTTGTGTTTATGGGAACTTAGTGATATTAAAGAGGGAATTAATATCTTGAGTGTTTTCTAATTTTTTTTGGGGGGAGGGGGGCTTAATTCATGTTTTAGACTTTTAGGTACCAGATTTATTTTACTAATAAAGGGAAGCTTACTTCACAAAGTGTAATTGAAGTTTACATACATGTCCATTAGCATGATTCTCATCTACTTTTTTAAATCTTCGAATGAATGAACAACGCAAAAATATGATAACTGAACTAAACCCACAAAGTATAAACATAAAAAAAAATAATATTATGAAGAAAAATTGCAAATCAAATCCATCATGATAGATATGCTATTCCAGTGCGAAATTTGTGGCAAAAAACCTTGAACCCTAGTACACTTTTTGTCAAAATCTAAACTAAATCTTACATATGATGTTGTCACAAGTTAAACTATTTAAATTAATTTCTCTTTTCCTACCTCTTTAAATGTATTTGATTGACCTGAAAATTCACCATTACCATATGTCAATATAGAATTAGAAAAACAAATAAAAAATCACTATTCACATGAATTAAATGCTAAACTACATATATCTTTTCCTCCATTTTAGGCCAAAAATCATTTCGTTCATTGGCAAAATGTCAAAGATAAAAAGCATACATGAGTTATCAATAGTAATTTTTTTTATTCTCATTATCTTGTTTTTTGGTAACATTCAAAACCCAAAAAGAACGAAAAATACAGCAAACTCCAAAGCAATTTCCAAAAGAATAATAATACCAGCGTTTATTAAATCATCTATTGTATAAGGAAAAATGCATCCGTGATTAGGAATACCAACTTCTAATTAATCATATATTTTATAAGGAAAAATGTATCCATGATTTGGAATATAGTTTAATTCTAGATATATGATCTCATATATTGCCCAGTGATTCAATCACTAATAGATAAAGCAAAGAGTGAAAATTTTCAGTACATCAAACTAATTAATTTATTTTGATAAAAATCAATATCACGAAACTAAATTGAACACCCCCAAATACGCACCTAAAAGAGTAGGAGCTATATTGTGACAAATCTTATTAGTCGACATTCCAGAATAGATAAATCGGTGAGCACTTCTTCACCATTATTAAGGTGAATGATCCAATTATGGTTGATATTTGATAATCAGTTCTGTAATGTTTTTAGGTATATATTTTTAAAATTAGTAATGTTTATTATCTTGGTATAATATACTATAGATAGATAGATTATGTGATGCAGATACAGTTGCATTGTTTGTTCAAATAAGATGGAAAAAGAAAGTATATGTAATAAAGTTATTGATTGAGATATCATAACTGGTAAGGTTTAGATTTATCATTTTTATTCATGTCGCTTCATCTCTCCTGGACGAGAATGCAATTTTTTCCCTCCCCTAATAGTGAAGTGTGGTCAGTCTTATGTAGATATTTTCATGAGAAGAGTGACAGATACAGATAAAATTTAAAAAAAAAAAAAAATTAGAAAAAAATATGACATCTAAATTATCCCCTAAATTCATAAATGTATAAACCCTACTGAAAAGGTTAAAAAGGAATAGATATTATTACTTTTCACCTTTTTCTCAAAAACACAATTTATCTTGTTAAATTGAAACAGTACAAGAAAGTCACTTATTTTTATGGACCGAGAAATAAAAGAAAATATGAAATGTAAAAAATGGTTTGTTTACACTTATAATTGCTAATTCTCAATCATTTTTTTAGTGACTCTCACTCTGTGCGTGTGGGACTGTGGGGTGTATACGGTCTGACTAAAATGTGTTTGATTCAGTCGTCGGTTTTTGTTAATGTTTAGTGATTGGTCTTTCTCTTGAAATTCTGTCTGTTTTTCACTTTTTCACAGTGTGTTAAGGTAATTAATTAGACGAAGTATGTTTCATCATTGACTACTACATTCTGGGTTCATGGAAAAAATAAATAAATACTACTCCACAAATTAAGGTTAATTGTTACTCCCTCCTAAAAAAATTACTTTTTTAAAATAAAATAGTGCATAAATTTTACTTCTTTTTTTTTTTCATTGATATTAAAGCATTCATACCACAGTACTAGACTGGTTGTTGTCATTCCTTGCTCAAATTTCAAAGGTTACAGTGAATTTATTCCAGAAAAGCAAATGACTGGTCTATGTATATTTCTGCTTTTACGGAATCTGTTTGGCAATTGGGGGCAGAGGCTTTTAGTTTTCACCAGGGCATCAGGTAATAAATTGTAAAATTTTCCTATTTTACTGTCTGAAGACATCATCAATTGAAAATTCAAAAGGAAAAGGAGAGAAAGAAAGCTGCGAAAAAAAAAAAAACATTAAGACAAGGTTTTGTATTGTTATTTTTGCAATTTTATTTCATTTAATAATTTTTGTAAAGTCTTCTATTACCAAAATGTTGACAAATGGTCTATCACTGTTATTGCCTAGACTTGGAACCGTTATCTGTCCCATAATCAAAGTTATTTTCTCAGCTTCTTCTACAGATTAGTCTTTAGGAAACTTCATCAAGTCAACCTTAACATTTTGTTTTCTTATGTCTTTTTTTTTTCAAAAAAAAAAAAAATCTTTAAACCCAACAGTAAATAAAGAAGAATTACCGTATACGTTTTGGTTAAGTGTCCAACTTTTGACCCCCTCCAATTCCCCTACATCATTTATTGGAGGCTTTCAACGATGAGAATGTTCAACTAAAGCCACCAAATTATTTTCCTCAAACAATAACAACAAACTACTACTATTATTTAGTAGTTAAATCAAAAAATTCTCACGTTTTAAGAGCTGTTCTAAGTCCAAGTTAATTCCATCACTTCTTCTTTTACATAACAAAAAAACGAATTGCTTCGTATTAAATCTGATGGCATATCAGGTTTTATAAACACAAACCCTTCTGATTTGAAAATCACGGCAAGCTGATGAATGATGGCAAAGTTTAATAAATAACTGAAAAATTTTACTGTTTCTCATTTGGTTACAGGTAAAATAAATAATGTGATAAATAAATGGTGTATTGATTCTTCGATGTATGCAAATAACTAAATGACATTTTGGGGAACCAAATAGTACTAGCAATTGTTACTTTCATAACCCTTTCCTCATCCTGAACAAGAAGATAAGGTAATCAAACGTTTGAGAGAACTTGTTTGTTTTCAGTCTGATGCATTTGTCAGTTTTCTAAAAATAAGTATAATTGTGTCGGTGCAGTTACCTCCTTCCCATGTTCATCTCTGCATTTAATTCCTGGCCCTTGCTATTAAGGTTAAATCACACCCATTCATCTTCTTTAGTTCCAAGCTTTTAAAGTTTTGGGGGTATTATTAAAAGAATGTTGTAATTTTTTCGGTCCTCAACTTGAAAATTTTCAATTCCATTACTATTTTAATTTGTATTTTTTGTTACATCCAAATGATAAAGTTACTAAAAATGAAGATAAATTAATTTACTACTGATGCAATACAACAGGTTCTTCTTCTTTCTTTTTTTTTTCAAAATTTTCTCTGCCATAATATTAATTAATTTTGTTGATTAACCGTATTTATACCGTTCTATGAAGTTAATACACTAAAATTTACCATGTACCAAATCGCCAAAATTCGACAAAGTTGAAGGGCATAGAGCAAATTCTAACCTTGCAAGTTGCAACCAATTTTTTGATGATATTTGGTACACGAATCTGACTTCCCAGAATGAC